CCCCAAGCGAGATGAAAGGCCTCGTGAGCCTGGAACATCTCAAGATCCACTTCCACCTGTCCTACCCGACCTGCCGAACCCGGACCCTACCAGTCCGGATGACTTCACACCTGATAATCAACCCCCAGACAACGCACATCCACAACCGCGGCAAGACGAACCGCAACAAGAGGATGATGACGAAGTCAATGACGATCCAGCCGATCGTTATGAACAATATCGAAGCCCAACTCCGGAACCATACGAGAATCCGGAGATACCATTTGTTCCCGGTCTACCTCCTGGACAACCTCCACCACAGAGAGAACAATATCGTCCTCGTCAGAGTGGACAAGCCGGTCCATCTCGTCAGGCAGCGCCACCTGCTCCTGATATTAGGCAACGATGGAATCTCGAACCACAACCTGTGCCGCATCCGGCCAGACCACAGCGTGAGAATGCAGGCCAACGCCGTGTTCCCGACAACAGCTATGGTGACGTCCCGCCCACTGAAGCATGGCGTCAACAGGAACGAGACATCCAACGTGATCAACGAGAAGAACGAGAAGCACGTGAACAACGTGAAGCCTCTCCAATGGAAGTCGACGATCAACTCCGTCGGAATTTATTCCAATGGATATGTCATGCTCACCAGCCTGACCCCACTACGTACCGCGAGGCAATGTCTCGCCCAGATGCGAAACAGTGGGAGATCGCGATGAAAGAGGAACTTAAGTCTCAGGAGGAGAATTCCACATGGATTCTGGTCAACAGACCAAACAATCGGAGAATTGTAAAGTGCAAATGGGTTTATGTGATCAAGCCCGACGGCCGCTATAAAGCACGACTCGTGGCCAAAGGATTCACACAGATAGAGGGGATAGATTTTCAGGAAACCTTCTCTCCCGTCGCACGCTATGAAGCTATACGCTTCTTACTCGCACATGCCGCACTCGAAGATTGGGAAATCGAGGCAATGGATATCAAAACGGCCTTCCTGTATGGCGAGCTCGACGAGGAGATTTACATGGAACAACCAGAAGGCTTTGTGAAGAAAGGACAAGAAAAGATGGTGTGTCGATTGAAGAAGGCTATCTATGGCTTACGCCAAGCCTCACGCACCTGGAACGAGAAGCTACACACTACGCTACTCGAGAATGGATTCAAACGCACGCGCTCAGATGCTGGCGTCTATGTTTATCATCACGACAAAGTCGAAGTTTACCTTATAGTTTACGTCGATGACCTTCTACCGATGGGTCCAAGTTTAACCGAGATCCAACGAGTGAAGAAAGTTCTTGCAGAGAAATTCCAAATGCGAGATCTTGGAGCCGCTAGTACATTCCTTGGAATGCGGATCACTCGTGATAGAAACAACATGTGTCTGGAAATCGACCAACAGTCGTATACCGAAGGAATCCTATCTCGGTTTCAGATGCACAACTCAAAACCTTGCCGCACACCGCTGCCTGAAGGCATACATCTCGAGAAGGCTGCGGAAACATATACCGCTACCGACGCACTCCGCCATCACTACCAGTCTATGATTGGTAGCCTCATCTACTTGATGATTGGTTCACGACCCGACATCGCCTGGGGAGTCACACGACTCTCACAGTACATGCAAAACCCTACGTCACAGCACGTGGAAGCCGCGAAACACATCTTCCGGTATCTCCGTCACACCACCGAGTATCGTATCCGGTACTCTGGTTCAAATCAGTCCGGTTTGATAGGGTATTCAGATGCAGATTGGGGCGAAAATCGGGATAACCGGCGATCAACAACCGGTTTCGTTTTCTTGATGGCCGATGGAGCAGTCACATGGGCATCTCGGATGCAGAAAACGGTGGCAAGATCTTCGACGGAAGCCGAGTACATGGCACTCTCGGAGGCATGCTCTGAGTTAGCCTGGCTAACGTCACTCCAAAAGGAGTTAGGTTACTTTCCTACTGCACCACCACCTTTGGTAGCAGACAACCAAGGAGGAATCTTTCTCGCAGTCAATCCCGCTCACGACCGAAGGCTCAAGCACGTCGACATTCGATACCACTTCATACGCGAATATGTAGAAGAAAAACGAGTGGATATAGTCTACGTTAGTACGGACGAAATGATCGCCGACACATTGACGAAACCACTTGGTGCAACAAAATTTGAGCGTTTCCGGTCTATGCTAGGCTTGGTCTTCAGTAGATTAGGCAATAACTAGTCGAGTGGGAGTGTCAGAACTGGGCGATTACGTCATTGCCCTGTACGGACTAATGGGGATACATCACATGACCCCCGATTATGTTGTAGTAATACGGACTAGATTACTCATGCTTACTGTACACGCTTACATACAGGTAGTACCATAGGTCCCTTAGCGGTATCAGGAGTCCTGACTCTCATGTATATATACTGGCCTTGTAGCACAGAATAAGATAAGAGTTCAGTCGCACTTTAACAGAAAGTTATCAGCAGCGTGCCGGAAGCGTCACGAGCAGTGTACCCATTGTTTCAAAGGTGGCGTATATCGAGGTAGCGCTGGCAGGTTGTAAAACATTTTTACCACCCTAAATGCTGATCAAAAATTCCAGATATGGAGACCATGTTGTGCGAATATTCTCATCATTTTTAGTACAGAATTTGTAAAGAAAAGGAGAGCCGAGCAGGTGTTTCTTTTCTTTTCAGAGTCCGAGGCTCTATCTTCTGTATGTTGTCCGTATGGCATCAATTTTGCCCCCTCCACTATTTTTAGCTCTTCTTCCACCCGCAACTGTGAATTTTCCAGGTTGAACACGAACTTTTGGCCCGATATCTTCACGAAGCCCGTTGAGGCGGGCAGGGAAGCGGCAGAAGTCGAGCGACTGCCAGTCGCAACCGGGCTCGAGGCCGACGAGACCATATGGGGCGACGCACTAGTGATGGCGGTGGTGTCCGGGGTACAGCACAAGTTGCAATTGTCCTTCCAGTGTGGCCGATGCCACCATACTAAGGAGTAGCAGGCTTTGGCGCCTGCGTAAAGATCTGAGATCAGCGCCATCAGAGAGTGATGTCACCCGAACTTAACAGGCGGCGGTTCGGCCACAGCCATTGTATCCCCTCGATCACAATGAGCAGGTACATGTGTTCGATGCCCTTCACGCTCACGCATCAGCTACGCACCTCTATATTCAACGCGAATCGCTCACAATATCGCCGCTACGCTACGGCCGACTTCGCCTTTGTTTCAAAGCCCAGTTTCTTGCAACCTGGATGGAGGCTCCAGCCTCGTAAACATACCTTCCCTAAGAGCGGCACGCACAAGTACGTAGGGATTGCGACGCTGGGGTTGGCAGGATTCTCGTTCCTAGCTACCCAAAAAGAGATTCACTGTGATCGTAAGACGTCCCATGTGTCTCTGGTGTTATGAAGCGTATTAACCCGGTATACTTAGCTGCTACGCCACCTAAGCACAACTTGCACGAGGTGCCTGTCACATCTAGTGACGGAGAACCTCTTCCACCTCCACCAAAGTCCTCGGTGAACGCCTACGAGCTGGCTTTCGGAACCGTGTGCGGAATCTGCGCGGGTGTCTTTGTCAAGAAGGGCGCAAAGGCGCTGGCCTTCGTCCTTGGAGGCGTGTTCGTACTGCTTCAGGTCAGTGCATTCTGCGGGAACCTCAATCACTGATGCTAACCGCGACCCACAGTATTTCGGCTCTCTGAATCTCGTCCGCGTGGACTGGGCTCGCATGTCAGCGCGCTTCGAGAACTTGTTCTACACCACTGACGCGACTGGAGCCAAAAGAGCACCAAGCGTCGGCTCTCTTGTTCGCTGGATCGTCAACTTTTTGACCGCGGACTTCCAGCAGAGGGCATCTTTCATTGCGGGTTTCGCACTTGGTATTAGGGTCGGATAGGTATTTGTAGATTGAGACTGCCGAGAAGTAATACGAACGGCACGGACTATAGGCTAGGACCACAGTCTTGGTACAGCTGTAACTGATGTACTGCATACATGCTTATTGATCATTTCTTGTACCCTGGAAGAGAGCGTGAAAACTCGATGTTCTGCGGTGCATGGATGCGCCGGCCAAATCAGACTGCATCCAGAGCAACCTTCTGGTCCCCGCTCGTAGCCATCCCTCTTTGAACAACCAAGACAGCTCCCACAATATCCCATGCAGCGAGTGCGGCTGGGTGTGAGAGATCAAGCTAGAGAAGCGAGACGAAGGCGTTGCAGGTATGGGCGATGGCGACTACATCTGAGCCTGGACATGGTGCTAGGTGGATCGGACGAGAACACCTGCACCTGGCTCGGGAATCACCGACTCCGCCGCTCACGGATCACTTATCCGGAACAGATCCTGCGGAGCGCTGTCAACGGGCCACTCTTGCGGTGCTTGCGCGCTGTCGTATTCGGTCATGTCAACAGACTTGGTATGTCTTGGAGTCTTCGTACAGTTGGCTTACCAGGTTGTTCACTTTAGAGCATTGTCTATCCATGCAGATGGGGGCGAAGTCCGGCGACGTCGCCAACTTCGTCTTTCCTCATCGTGAAAAAGTCCTGTCGAGGCAACCATCATCACCCTGCCTGGCGTTCAAGCCTTTTTATAACTTGCATTCTCAATTCACTCCCAGGACTGCGATCAGCACTGCGTTGCTGAGCAAGCTTCGTTGAGCTCTGGACGCGGGAGATGCTCGCTTCGAGTGCCTGGGTGGGCACCAGGTTCGGTTAGGTTCAGGCCACCCGTCGTGGGATGGCTGTACACAAAGCTGTTAATCGATGGTTCCGTCGCACTGCAACTGACGCTATATACTATACATGGCAAATAGGAAGGCCGCACTCTCCCTAATCCGTTAACAGCGGACCAAGAGATCATTGAGTTTATGTGGTGACACGAGGCGGTGGACGTCTCGGCCTAGGATACTATATGAGCTTCCCGTCGACGTTCATCCCTTGCACCTAACCCGTCTCTCTGCCATGATGACCTTCGCCCAGGTCAGAAAACCCTTCACACGACTGTACAATGCTTATCACTATCTCTCCGTGGCACTCAAGTTTTCCGTCTTGATAGTTTGTACGGGCGCAATGGTCGGCATCTTTTGCGGCGTTTTGTTAGGTGTCGGAAAGCGCTACAACGATGTGGGGGCCATTATCCTTACGAGTGGCGGAAATCAAAGCGGCGTAAGTACACAAGATCTTATGCTGCAACACGTTCTAGTGCTGAGCGTATCTCTTACAGGTGTCGCTTATAGGACACGTTTACAACATAGACATTCCTTCCCGCACTGTCCAAATATCCTGGCTCATTATAGGATGCGGAGCGATGCAGATGCCAGGGACCGCTCCATTCTATAACGTCCAATCTTGTGGACTTTTAACTGAGCCAGCTAACTTTTATGTCGACGGGTCGGTGTCTGCATTAAACGTGGATTTTCACACATTGACAATCACGAACAATCTAGTTCGAGCATGCCGAATGGCAGCTATGATCCCAACGCAAATCCAAGGCTAGCTCAAGGACTGAAATAGTGAGTGCCTCATCGCGTCGACTCAGCAATCTAACCCTTTCAAAGTGTGCAAGCCCTCAATCAGTTCCAAACCACCCATTTGATTGAGCTCTCTTCATGGAACGGACTTGACCAGCAGTATACATACCCGTTCGACACCTATTACCTCGATTCGAGCATCATCGCACTGAGCTCCGACACCAACGAAAGCCTGCCGCTTCTTACATACCACCCGGTTGATTCAACAGACAACTTTGCTCCCTCTGTCGAAGAAGACTCTGCCACCACTGTCATGAACAACGGCACGGTCGTTCAATCTCGCTTCATGAGGATGCGGTTTTCTAGGACCGCCTTCACACAGTTCTTCGTCATGTCCCTCTTCCTCGTCAATTGGGCGCTGACTGGCGTCGTCCTATACATCACACTCTCTGCTAACGAAGGCAATGATGTCGGAGAGTCGATCCTGCTCCTGCCGCTCTCCGTCATCGTGACAATCCCCGGACTACGGGCGCTTTGGGTTGGCGCACCAGCATTTGGCAAGTCATTCTCGTTCGTGCTTTGAAGCCCACGTTAACCATTTGCTCGTGTTTTACAGGGCTCCTGCTCGGTGTGTCAAGATCTCTTGAATGTTCACTTGCTCGCTTGCTGATCGTATTCTGTCAGACTCGGCAGGGTTCTTCCTGCAGATGGTCATCGTAGCCCTCTGCTCGATATTCCTCGTCGTGAATGTGGCACTCAGCAGCAAGGAAGAGAGAGAACGGAGGAAGCAGAAACACCGCAGGTTCAAGTCCTCCGAACCCGAGTGTCTTACGATGTCGGAGCCGGAATGGAAGGAGACACATGGCCTTACAGACGCACTGGAGTACGAGCAGAAGATGGTATTATGAACGAAGAATTGCTACATGGAATTTCACAGACCTCCACATCTTAACCACTGGTTCGTGTATCAATACCCCGGCAGAGCTGACTTCGTATCATTCAGTCAACTATCAATGGACGTCTGACTTATAGTCGCGTTCACATGTACTCTGCAGATAGCAACACTTTACCTGGACTCTTTCTCTATCACGGTGATGTGATGCACCCTCCTACAGAGACTTAATAGCATTCGCCTTGCACTCTAGCTAACATGACGGCGACAGAAGAGATATTCTGGTGTCGTGGAATGTACCACTTCCTGTAGTACCTTGTCGTACTATGTGGGTGCTCTCTCCGATTCGGAGCCCCGGCCCAGGCTATTGAATTTCCATGGCATGCCACGGCTCGCGTAAATTATTTAGCACCGACCTCAATGGCTAATATTCGGCACAAATTGGTGAGAATCTGGTTCATGTGCATAGAATATGGTCGGCCGGCTGGGATGTCCACGACACTCTCACGGTCGTGTCAAGGTGATATCACCCACAGGCCGCATCTCTACCACAAACCGCCATGGAGGAGTACAAAGACATACCCTATGTCAAAGGCTCTGCACATGGGACCTGGCACGAGTTTGACCTCTACGTGCCAAGCGACCAGGCGAACCCAGGGCCTCTCATAGTTTTTGTGCATGGAGGCGCATGGAGGTCGTGAGTATCAGCCTAAATCCGGTCCCGCAGCTGTGTACCGCACGGGTTGACGCAAACGGTTTGTTACCTAGGGAAGACAAGGCCAAGCATGCCGAGCTTGTGCGTCGATACGTCCGAGGGACATCGTGCCCGGTCGCCGCACCGAACTACCGACTGACCACGCCGGAGACGCAGCTGAAACACCCAGCCCATGCTGAGGACCTCCTGGCGTTCCTCGAGTTCGTAGTCGCCTGGGAGGGTCCCCATGGCGCAAGACATCGTCCATACGATACATCCCGACTGTACCTGGTGGGACACAGCTGCTCTGCACACATGATAGCCTCTATCCTCCTCGTCCCCTCGGTCGACTCGCCAGCAGCCTTCCCTTCCTTAACTCCGTCCGACGCATTAGTGGCATCTGTACGAGGTGTCATCGCGACAGAAGGCATTTACGACATCGACCTTCTCCTTCAGTCGTTTCCGGGTTACAAAGAGTGGTTCATCTCGAATACGTTCAGCGGGAAGGCATCGTATGCCAAGTACAGCGTGTCGCGATACCATCTACGACGAGGCGCAGAGCACATACGATGGCTCATCCTCCACTCATTGAAGGACCCGCTTGTCGACGTACTGCAAAGCGAGGCTATGATACGGCGCCTGGACACTTTCAACGGAGCGAATGTTGAGAGTTATTTGAAGTTCTCAAGCGAAGAACATAACGGAGTGTTAATGGAGGACAAGTATCATGAACTCGTTAGTATTTTCGTACACCGTATAGATAGATAGAAGCGTGCCCCAGAACGAAGAGGAAGAGGAAAAGAGGCTCCGCAGTAGCATCGTGGGGTTTGTCGTAATTATTAGGGGAATTAAAGGGTATGCTCGAAAGCAGTAGAGGAAGAGCCTTCGAATACTACAATACATGGTCGTCCTTGGTAGAAAATGGAGTGTGCCATGAGCGCCACCCCGACATGACAAGTCGAGAACATAGATCGTGAAGATATAATACGATGTCCGAAAAGCTCACTTCTTTCCGACGGTAACGCCAACAGCAATGCCGATAATTGCAAGGATAATAACAATGAGGAAGAAACAAAACCAGCGTTTACGACGTGCGGACCGCGCGTGATCAACGGCCTTCTCGGTCTGCTGCAGGCTATCAAGGAGATTAGGACGATTTGTGATAGAAATTGAGGCGATGTCTTACCCCCCGCGAGTATCTTCCTCTACTCGTGCAGCTTGCGTCTCAATCGCATTGATAGTCTCGTCTTGTTGAGTAATCAATACGCTCATCTGTTGAAAGCGGTCACAAACGGAGCGCTCAAGTAAGACAGAGGTAACCCACGTCGTTGAACAGTTGTGCAAGCTCCTCCAGCGTATGCTCTATTCGTTGAATATCTGCCTGTCGGTCCTGGACTTCTCGGTAAGCGACGCGGGCCTCGCCATAACGGCTTGACGAGGTGAGCTGCAGGAAAGGTGAGTACCTACGGGAGCGCAAAGAAGGTAGCATTACACACCGCTTGCGCGAATATCTGATCGCCACCACCGGACGTGTCGTTAACCACCGTGTTAATCTCGTCCTGAGTGGCATCGGGCTTGACTGAGATTCCTGCTCAGCCACCGCCGCGTAAACTACGTTGGGAAGAACTTTACCTATTCTGAACTGACGTTCCACCCTTTGCTTGTAGCGAGCCCTGTAATCCCTTTCCACCTGTTGGTAGTTCTGCAGGGCTTCCACAAACTTGGACCGCGCAAAGTCTGTCTGGGGGCGGGTAAGTCGACTGCGCGTAGGACACCGGACGACAGAGAAATGCTCACTCTGTTCTTGCGAATTCTCATATCCTGGCCTGGCTGAGCAGGCTGGGCCTCGAGAGACTGTATCCGCGACTTTATGCTATTACCCAAGTCCCGAGTCTGCGCGACGACATCGTCCAGAACGTCTTCGTTCTTGTGATTGGTATTCTCGTCGGTGCTGTTCAGGATGCGACTATGCAGATCAGAGATGCGCGAGACGTTGGAATTGTACTGCGAGATGGCATCTTGAATGGACGTGATCTACGCAGGGGTGTTATAACAGGAACCGACGCCAATGTACAAAGCGCGGGCGCACCTCCGTGTAAAAAGCAGACATCGCGTCCGCACCATTCGACATTCCGTAGCCGTTCCCATAGGCTGCGCTGGTTGGAGGGCTGATGAGGTCGGGCTGCTGTATGTTCCCCATCTCGAGGTCTTGAGGGGCTCCGCCCTGCCTCTGGGCCTTTACACGACGTCAGCGACATGTCCCCGGCGGTCGAAGAGGAAGACGTACTCTCAGCTGGGCCAGTCTGTCTCGCGCCATGGTACAAGGGTATCACGGATGGCTAGTTTACACGAGAGTCGACGGGAGCTGGATGGAAGTGAGACGCAGCGGTCCAAGGGAGCCTGCGGACGTACAGCAAAAGAAGCGCTTACCCCGAACTCGTTCGAGGTTTGATGACTTTCGGGGCTGACACGTGCCGCCCGCCTCTCTACAGCCACCTCCGCTCCGGGTCCAGTATTTCTGGAATATTTGTTTCATTTTACTGCGCAGCGAGGGCATGGGTACACCCATCGAGCAGCTCCTACAGGAGCCACTGGGAAAGCCAGCATACTGGGACGTTGATATTTTGACTGACGAGTGCAAGAGCGGCCCAAACGCCGTATTAACACTGTATAATGTCATGCTATCGTGCGGTAACAAGCCCACCGGGTACGTGGGTCTCTCCTGACTTAACAAGATTATTGACATTCCCCCAGCCTCACGTACTGCGAAGCTACCCAGCCCGAGTATGACCAAAAATTCTTCAGGGACCACGACCTCTTGGTCAGAGGCGTGCTGGTAATCAAGAAGCCAGGATGGCTGACCCCCGAAGGTCGCCGAGCACTCACCAAGGAACTGCGCGAGCGTGATGACAATGCTCGTCGTGCCGCGGGCCGATATGATGCTCCCTCGGACCTGACTGTCGGCAAGGTCTTCGGGCTGCGACGCAAGCCCAAAGTATGGATCCAGATCAGAAAACGACACCATTACGCTACCCAATACATGCTGTGTGAGTCTGCAGATCCACCGCTCAGTAGAAGTCTTCAGCTGCTTCTGTCCCAGCCGACAAGGTACCCGATGGACTATGTTTGTGGATCGACCCCGGGCGGTGCGCAGCACTGCACTCGGGTCAAGATGGTGAACAGCTAATCCTATTGTCGCTACAGGGGCAGATATTTCCGTATTGACAGCATGGACTCCGAGACGGCTCATAGATCCCAGCTATTTTTTGCTCGCTATCGAGTAGTTCACGACATGAAGGAGCTGGTTAGCAAAGCGGAGCAACAAAATCTAGACAGTATTGGCCCCAAGGTCCGCGACCCTGATTGGTTCATCGAACAATACATGCGGTATAAATACACAGGGCCATCCGGAGACAAGTACGACGATATCAAAAACAAAGTACGAGAGCTCTTTCTGGAACACTATGAGTGGTTGGTCCGAGACCAAAGCAAGCAGAAGAACAACAGGCTGTTCGATCCAGCGGCCTGGCGGCAATGGCGCAAGAAGCAGATTCGACAGAGAGATCCGGATGATCTGGAAGACTACTCAGAAGATGAGCCCATGGTGGTGGACGATGAAATTGCTGAAGACGACGGGATGGAAGAGGATGTCTCTCCCCCGCGTCAAAGTCGCCGGACAAGCGGACATTCCTCGCGCAGAGGCAGTGCGGCGCCACTACAGGTATATCCACTTCAATGCGAGACGCTCAGTACTGACTGCGTAATATGTAATGCTAGAACGCCGGACGCAAGCGTCAGCTATCTCCCGACCTCTCGAGACCGCCCTCGCTCGGGGACGACAACGAAATCCAGCGAGGCTACGAATCTTCCGGTTTGGAGTACATCGACAACCCAGGTGCACTCGCCGAGCCGGATTACTACCGGCCGTCCAGTGACGACTCCGACGTAGAGAACTACCTGCTCGACGGGGATTTTTCCTCAGACGAGGCCCCGCCGCAATCGGACACGGATAGCGACGACTATGTGCAGTCGCAGAAGCTCACAGAGCCCGCAGTCATGACGGCCATCCCATACGTGCTCACCCTGTCGCCGCGGATTCCTCTCGCGGGCGCCCGGTGGTACTGTCCTGTTCGCGATTGCTCCCACGACATCAACATGTACGACCTTTCGCACGACCATCCCACCATCTTTGCGCTGTCGAAGCGGAAGAGAGACTGGATCAGGTCTGGGGGCTGGTCGTGGCAGGACCCGAACCTCGTCGACTGCTTTGAAGTGCTTGTGTCGGCGCACTACCAAGAGCATCTGGACGAGCTTGGCATTGACCTCGCGGGCGGCCGGAGAGATGTGCGTGCTGTCCTCATGCGAAAGCTATATGGTAGTCTAAAAAGTTTGCAGATCGTGGCTAGATGGAAACACCCTGCGGAGCATCCTTCGAAGCATGGCAAAGTCATTGTAAAGAAAGAGAGGCAGACCTCCGCAAGACTTAGCACGGCATTCGATATCAAGCCAGAACCTTCACAATAACATCTGTTTCCGATCTGCGCCAAGCAACATCGCGGGAGGGCGAGTTGCCCCCATGTAAAATACATATAGATACAAAATGACCGATAGATGAGTCTAGGGTAAATCCAAGCCAACAGAGGCTAAGCGGGGTATTGCTACAGATCTCCTAACCGCGACCGCGCACTCTCGGTGGGGGGCCTTGGGCGTGCCTGCACGTTCTTCAGTTCCTGCCAAAGTCTGCCCCTCCCCGCGTCTCCGCTGCACGTACTTAGCGCCTTTATGCTCGGCGCCTTGCTCGCCAGGGACCCGCTGCGTTTCGTCGCGCCGCCGTACGTTGACGTCGAGCGCGCAGGACTCGGGTCCCGGACGGTGCTCGCGCGCGTGGACAGCCGCGGGCGCGACGGGCTCGCCATCGTCGAGAGCTGTGCGGAAAGTTTGGGCGGTGGCCGTCGCTCAGGCGAGCGCGAACGCTCAGAGAGCAGGCTCGCTATGGTCAGGCGGCCGCCTTGGTAGAGCTTTGAGCGCACTGCTGGGGCGGGGCGGAGTGGAGGCGAGGAGGGCTCGGCTTCCGAAGCACTAGTCGGGCTGCTTGCTCGGGGTACTGCGGAGGGGGCGGTCGGGTAATCTGCGGTAACCGTGGAGGGCTTCGGCTGAAGTGCCGAACGAATCTGCCTCGGTGCTGCCGTAGGGAGGCGTAGATAGCGTGCACGGCTGATAATGACCATCAATATGAGTTGGATACGGAATGCATTGAAAGCCAACTTACGCCACAGCTTTGAGCTGGAGCTTAAACTTATATGCTTGTGACCACTTCTCAAACACTTTGGCTGCATAAACGTCAGCTGCCAAAGATCATTTTGAGAGAGAACAAGACACGTACTCAAAACGTTCTTGCGATGCACCTCTCTCGCTTCCTTGCTTTGCAGCGCCCTGGGCATGGCTTCGCGCCAGATTGCCCAGTGCCTCGCCTTGAGGTGCGACGCATGGAAGCGCACTGCGGGAAGAGATTTAGTCTTCGAGTGCCAGATGCCAAATGTTCGGAAAACGAGATTCCTCTGGTGTTGGGCGAGAAATGCGTCCGCCAGAGGCTGTAGCCGAATGTCGAGATACCGTTCACGCCATTTGTCCCACGCACCGGCCACGACGGCAAGCTTGAGTTCTTCTTCTTTTTGCTGGAGGAGCAGACGGCGGCCACGTGCTTTGCGGGCGGTATTGAGCCAATGGTAGAACATCCGGCTTAAGGTCTCTTCTCTCTTGATGTACTGATAGCTTTCCATGAGACTGAGGTTGTTGACATGCCGGACGCATAATGCCTTCCACCGATTGAAAGCCGACCTGAAAACTAGTCAAACTAGTCATTCATATGCTACCTGAGAAAACATACGTGATAACAGTAGTTTCGTGGCGCTGTTGTGTCTCGAACTCGCGGAACTTGATATCCGCGACTTTGTTGGTCCAGTGGTTTAGCGCCTTTGAAAGGATGCGCTACAGCCATCTTTGAGTCATATAACACGAGCATGAGCTTCAAGACGCACTAGTTCGACCCGTTTCCGGATAATTTCCTCCGACAGTTTTCTCTGCCTCTCAAGCTGTGCTCTTTGGTGCCACTCCCTGAGGTACCTCCCCACCACACGAGCCTCAAACTCTTTCATCTTGCTCTCCCTCTTCTTCTCCTTCACCTTCTCGACCCACTTGCGCCACGCATTCTTAGTCGCGAAGAATTTCTCCGCGCGACGTGCCTGTCTTGACTGCTTTGCATGAGCTCGCAATTGCAGACGCCATTCGAAGAGCACGCGGTAGGCAAGCTGAGAGTTGTAGTACTGCACGGCAAACGCTTGTGCATTTCGATGAGAGGTAAACACTTCATGCCATCGATGGACGGTGGAGAATGCGAGAGCAGAGGCGCCGCGCGTTGAGAAAGCAATAGCTTTATCTGTATTGTACAGAGTTTAGTGAGAATGGCCGGCATAAACCGTGTAGGCAGCTTACCCTCGCGCTCGCGGTGCTCTTGCAGCCGCCGCATCCATGTCGCCCAAACTTGCCGGACGAGTCTTGTACCGCGCACGCGTTCCAGCAACTTGCCGCGCTCATGGGCTTTCCACACACGCCACACCGCTCGGAGGAGCACTTCGTTCTGACGAGTTTCGTGCTTGATAGCACGATTATCCAGGGCCTGACATTGCAAAGCTCAGCATAACGTGCTAACTGTCTGATCATCGGGGGACTCACGCGTATCCGGTCTCTAGCAGTTTTCCATGACCTCAAAGCGTGCTTCATAACCTGACTGTCGTGAAATTCGTCCGCCTGCCGGATTTCATACCTGCGGCATCGCGTCAGCAAGTTTTGGCACCGTACGACCTCCGCTAACTTACAGTCGTCTCCCCCACGTATTAAACGTGGTAGTGAGGACCCTTAGGGCGACGCTCTCAGCCACCGAACTCTCCGCTCTTCTCAGACCCAGTTCCTTTCTCCACGAATCCCAGCACCCTACGACGAGCCCCTTCTCCCTGAGCGCTACAAATTGGTCGCCCTTGTTCTCCAGGTGGTCCGTCTCCACCAGCTTAGCGCGCCACCTCCTGTACGTCTTGACCACGAATGTCCGGTAATAGTGTTGCTCTGCAAGGCGCAGGCGGAAGGCCTGCCTCCATTGTGCGTACGTGCCCTTCACAAGCTGATGGTCGTGGCCATCGCGCACGGTTTTCATGCGCGCGCGCATGTCCTGCCGCCATCGTAGTTGCTTGCGTTCGCGCAGCCTGGCGCGCCAGATCTGCATGGCAGCTTTGAGCCGGCGGTTATCCGCAGTGGTAGCCACGCGTTGGGACATATCCCTCTGGGAGGCAGTGAGGCTGCGCCATTGGTGAAGTGCTCGACGGATGAGGAAGTTATTGCGAGCTTCCGCCACCTGGTCGCTCGTAGTCTAGACGCACAAAAGGGTCGGCATGGAGTTGAATGAGCAGGACAGATGAATACGCACGACGACCCATCGACAGGCTTCTCTCCACGCTTCCCAGTAGCGTTCAATGATCTTATCCTCTCGAAACCGGTCCGCCTCCTCGTCGTCCCGCGCCATCCTAATCTTCTTCCATGCCTCGTCCTCGTTGATCACACTTCCGCTTCGCCCTCGCGCGTGTAGAACGGCGGCACGTGCGGCTGCAGGGACCAGATGGGAAGTGAGAGACGCGGGAGAGGGGTCGGCCACTTTGGACTGGGCCTTGGCGAGGGCACGAAGGGGGTGGTGGTTCGACGAAGGCTGAGCGCGAGTGTCGAGTTCGCGTGTTGCTGCACCATAGGACGGAGGCACTGAGGATGGTGCGCGAGCAGTGTCGGCTGTGGCTTCAGACGTTTCCGCATCCCAAACGGCAGGAGCCCGAGCGGGAAAGGCTCGTTTGAGGGCAGCTTGGTAAGCAAGCGTCCTAGTGCGTGCGGAATTAGCAGCTGGTGGAGCAGTACTGAGGCCCAGGGAGTTCGTGGTCATAGTCAGAGTGGGTGAAACAGCTCGGCCGGCCGTCGTTGTGGCGGTTTGTATGGCGTGTGGACGGTATGTACGATCTGCCTCCGCCTCCGCCTCCGTGAGGGCTTCACTCTGCGTGGCATCATCCTGATGAGAATGCAGAGTGAACGCGTCCTCATCCCGTTCAATGGCTTTCAGAGTTCCGGTGAGACGTGCGAGGACATGAGCTCTGTGTGTTGTTGGTGCAGGGGAGGATGGTGGCCGTGGTGGTGCTGGCCGAGGAGGGAGAGCCGTAGCAATTCTTGGTTTGGAAGGGCCTGGTCGGGAAGATAACCGTCGCTTGACTATGTCCCATTTCTCCCCCCAATTTTTGCCCTTGATAGTCACAATTTGGAGTAGCTTCTTATAGAGAACGATCTCCTTCTCAGAATCCATTCCACGCTCTTTCAGGAGCTCGTTGAAGACCTTGATGACAACGAGAGTCGTAGCTGCGGGTGACGCCCTTTGGAGGATGGCGTCCATGAGGTCGACCTCATAGGGAGTCAACGCAGCCAGCTCGGGGGTCAGGGGAGGGAGTGATGAGCTGGAGGCATCGAGGGCATCGCTGAGGGCAGCGAGCGAGCGCGTTGAAGGTCCTGGCGGAGAGGAGGCTCGTGGTGGTGGTCCCGGCGGAGAGGAGGCTCGTGGTGGTTTGAATCGCGGCATTACATGGAGAGCGGGATGACCGAACGCGAGACAAGCACGCGGCAAACAACAACACGAGCGCGACGGTGCACGTGAGCGTTCTTCCACGCGACATCCGCGGATGATCCGCCTTATTGCTGTTTTAGGATCATCTGCCCATCCTGCGACGGCGACACTGTAGTCGTTCTCATATCGAATCTACAGCACACATCAGTCTGTCTATTTCGAAGTTCATAATGGCAGAGAACGCTGTACACTTTTAAAATCGACATCAGGCTCTTTCAATCTCTGATGTGCTGCACGAAAGATTGAAGCCTGAGAACCAGCAAAGTCTTGTGACTGATCCTTGCTACGGCCCCGCATCCAGCCCTGGCTGGTTTGTGAACTCCTGTTGAATCATCCCTCACCTGCACAGCCGACTGACCGGGCAATATCGCCATACGAGCAGTCGGCACCGAATTCTGCGCGGGGTCTCGGCGAGACGGAAAGAGCTGTTCAAACTTGTGTCTACCGTCCGACACTCCGGGCTCTAATTGCAATGCATTGATTGTGCGTCGAGCTGTGGCAACTAGGGGTGATACAGAAGCTTCGGTAGTCGGCAAGTAGTTGTCTCCGCCCGGGCTTGAGGTGATGCATGGGATATCATGCTAACGAACAAACCTTCAGCTTCAGCGGGTACATATATTCAGCTCTACAATGCCTATATCAGCCGCGTCTTATCCTCTCATTGCACCCTCCTTTGTCGACTAGACTTGTTTGAGCTCCGCCTCTGTCATCGAGATACTAGCCATGAAGCCTGGCGTGAACGTCGAGATCTCGCAAGGGATCGCCACGATTACCTTCAACAGGCCGAAGAGCTACAACGCGATCACTCCCGAAGGTGCGTGCCATGAGCTCGGTGAAAGGACGATGGACCCTGACGTGACAACATTTAGACTACGACGCGTTTGCTGAAGCTCTGTACTCCATTGATCATAGGGACGATGTCATTGTGACCGTTTGGCAAGGTGCGTTCATGACTCTGAGATCACTGTGGCAAACTGACACTGGTACAGCTATGGGCAAATTCTTCTGCTCGTAAGTGGTCTCGTCAAGTTGAAACTGGTTTCTGCTCACTCTAGACCACAGGGGTACGGACGTAACTCGCATGAACGAGGAAACCGGATCCATGCGGCAGACATTTATCACCGGGGTCACACGAGCGAATACAGATGTTGCTCACGCTGTGAGTAAATACCTTCGTGGCGTGCAAGTGACCATGCTGAAACGTCTTCACAAAGCTGTATACCCATAGAAAACTCCTTGTGGCAGCTGTCAATGGGCCGGTGATTGGTGAGTACGGAATGTCTTTGATGGCTAACACTGGCTAATTTTGTGGGCAGGTATCGCAGCTGGTACGTCTTCCCAAAACTCGAGAATGTCACCCTTAGGGCTGAACAAGAATCTAGCGTACCTGGGACATTTCGACTTCATCTACTGCTTGCCAAGCACTTATCTCTCTTTGCCTTTTCCAATGCTTGGTGAGCTAATTCTCAACTCAAAGAGCGCGCTATTGATGAAATACACAGGAGTTATATCGGAGGCTGGATCTAGCGTGACCTTTGTACGGCGAAGTGAGCTTTGCTTGACTAAATCTCAACGGCGTACAGCTAACAACTGTTCCAGTGGGATCTGCGAAAGCGAACGAAGCCCTGATTTTCGGGAAGAAGCTGGTCGCACAAGAACTTCTCGATGCAAAGTTTGTCAAGTGAGTCTCGCACTTACAACGCTCTCCCGCGCGTATTCATATATATCGAAAGCAAAATATTCCCTGAACAGCCCGTCGAGTCCTTCCATGCTGCAGTACGTGCACAAGTCCAGAATGAACTCGAAGGCCTTGACCACTCTGCCTGCCTTGAGGTGAAGCAGCTGATCAAAACCGGCTTGGCCGAGAGCAATAATCTTGACTCTGTGAACATGCGCGAGAGCTATGCACAGGCTGCGCGCATTGCGAGCGGCGTCCCTCGCGAACGCTTCGGAAAGATTGCTCGGAAGGAGATCAAGCACAAGCTTTGAAGAAACTTTGGAGCTCAAGTTCGACTATGTAGATGTGTTCGGGACTTTTTTATGTACCATAGCCTGTGGCGCTGCTGTATCTAGCGCAATTTGACTGTCCTTGAATTTGCTCCAGGAGAACACGTCTGACTCGCTATTGTCATTGTCATTTTTTGGCGCTTATACACTTGCAATTGGTTGGCACAGACTATGTTAGACCACGTTTGACCTGCCACTTGGTGTGCCTTCGCCAACAACTGCCCGCAGCGCAGCATCGTTTCAGATTTGTAGTTTCCTCCCTACCTCTGCGTCTCACGTGCCGCTGGCGGAGGCAGTCACGTATTGCACCTGCCAGTGCGCCTTCTTATGCCAGATCCTTGGCATCTGATGTCTGTTCTTCCCACCATCCTGGCATCGCTGATATTAGTCGAAACTCATGTTTTATCTGTAGGCCCACCTGAGAGACTGTTGCGTGATCACCCACAGGGCTTGCGCAACCAGATCGGGCTCGGCAAAAAGCCGTGCAGCTGCACCATGGACACTTCATGTGGGTAAGCTTCGACACGGTTCTCAGCGTTGGCGCGTACCCGATTTCGAAGTAGTTATCTCCGCCACGGTATGCAGATATGTTTTCAAACAGATAGGATGCACCATCTGGCATATAAGACTTGGCCGGATCACTCATGTTCCCCTCCTCCCCCTTGCCATTCACCCTCAGGCTTCTGCTTTCTTTCTTCGCTTGTCCTCGCTCCTGCTTCTTGAGCGGGTCTCTGGGTTAAGATTCGCGCAATATGGCTGCGGAGTACGACACGGAGAAGCACAGCGATGAGAAGGCGACCTCTCTGTCTTCGAACGACGAGGCGCGGGTGCGGGAGATCGAGGCCGACGGTATCTATGCGCGTGAGGAACTGCTTGACCCCGCCAAGGAGGAGACCCTCCATCGTGGGCTTTCTGCACGGCAGATTCAGATGATCGCGGTGCGTACTTCTTTGTTTTCGGCATACATGCTCGCGCAGCGAGAGGCTGATGAAAGGGTGTCCAGCTTGGCGGTGCGGTTGGTACAGGTCTCATCATTGGCTCGGGCACGGCCCTTGTGCGCGGCGGCCCGCTGGGAATGTTCCTAGGATACAGCTTCGTCGGCGTGGTGTGCTACATGGTCATGGTTGCCCTTGGAGAAATGAGTGCGTACTTGCCGCACAAGAAAGGCTTCCCGGGCTATGCGACTCGATTTGTGGACCCGTCTTTCGGCTTTGCTTTGGGGTTCAACTATTTGTTCAAGTATCTGATCATTACGCCGAATAACATCAACGCTGCTGGTATTGTAATACAATACTGGAATCAAAAGGTCAATATCGCAGTGTGGATGGGTGAGTTTACTTCTGCGTAAAGTCTGGATGTTCGCTGACCCGTTATGAGATAGTGGTCTTCATCTTATTCAGTGAGTAGGGTCTCAACCCGCATGTTCTCAAGTCAATCTCATCGCTCCCTTAGTCTTCCTAGTAAACCTTCTCGGCGTACGAGTCTTTGGCGAACTTGAGTTCTGGTTCAGCAGCATCAAGATCATCACCCTTGTTGGCCTTATCCTCATGGGCATCATCATCGACCTCGGAGGGAACCCACACCATGACCGCTATGGCTTCCGCTTTTGGAAGCATCCGTACGGCCCGATGGGTACCTACCTGCAATCGCAAGTGCACAATGGACACCTGGCAATCTTCCTAGGCTTCTGGAGCACACTCACGAACGCACTCTTCGCATATATCGGTACTGAGCTGATTGGTGTTACCGTTGGTGAGGCACAGAACCCGAGCAAGAACATCCCGAGGGCAATCAAGAGGACGTTCTGCGTATCGTCATCTTCTACATCGGAGGCGTCTTCGTTATTGGACTCATCGTCCCGAGCACGAACAACGTAAGTCAACATCGGTTTGATGAACCGAATTCTATATTTACACTTCTTTTATAGGCAATCTTTGTGGCGAACAAAGCGAAGACTGGTGCTGCAGCGTCGCCCTTCGTCGTCGCCACTACTTTGGCGGGCATCAAGGTGCTCAACCACGTCATCAACGCTTGCATTCTGCTCTTCGTCCTGAGTGCGGCCAACTCAGACTTGTACATCGGCTCACGTACGCTCTATGGTCTGGCTGCCGAGGGCAAAGCGCCGCGCATCTTTGCTAGGGTGAACCGGATGGGTGTGCCATACGTTTCACTCGGTCTCTGCACACTGGTCTGTGGAATAGTATTTTTGAATGTCTCGTCATCCAGTGCAAAAGGTTAGAGGTATTTCCGCCGAATCTCGGCACGAAGTTCTGAACATCACTTGTAGTTTTTGGCTGGTTCGTCAACCTCGTTTCTGCGTTCGGAGCGATCACATGGATGTGTATTTGCTACACGCACATGTAAGCCGGTGTTCCACTGCTGCGATGAGTTTCCTTACTTAGTCCTCACCCACAGCCGCTTTATGAAGGCCCTCAAGATACAAGGGAGGTCGCGCGACGATCTGCCATACAAGGCCCCTTTCCAGCCCTACGGCTCGTGGTTCGCAATCATTGCGACAGGCATCATTTTGTTCTTCAAGGGCTTCGACTCGTTTCTTCCCTTCAATAAGGCCAACTTCGTCACGAACTACATCGCGATCCCAATATTTTTCATCTTCTGGATTGGCTACAAGCTGTTCTATCGAACGAAGGTCATCCCGCTCGTCAGGGTTGATGTTGACACTGGTAGAAAGGAAATTTTGGAGGAGGAGGAGCGGTTCCGGGAGCAGGAGGCATTGAAAGGTCCCCAAACCAGATGGCAGAAGATCCTTTCTGAGTTCTGAGACGACATTAATGTATTTAATGTAATTATGTCGCTGTATTCATGGCGTACACATGTTCATGAGCGTGTCTCGAAGGACATGCAGGGTGTCAGCACAATTCTCCATGCCAGACAATGGATATATACATCACTACTCAGAAGGACTCCGGCGTGGTTTACGTGCGCGTCGCCGTAGCTTGTGTCGATGCGTGCGAGGCAGGCCCTGCAGATTGTGTGAAAGCGTTGAGCTCCTAGCAGCTCATGACGTATGAAAGAAGAGCAAACCGGTGCAGCCCTTTCGCATATTACACGCTCCTCAGCTCGTCATCGCCCTCGTACGGTCATCTAGCTGCGAGTGCTACGCTCACTTCTGATACAATGTCCAAGACCTCCGTGACCCACGGCTCAGCGACCTGCTTCTCCGCCTCCAGCCGCTTCTGTTCGGTCTCTTGGTGGCGTGTTGCAGCGGAATCTCTCTCCTCCGCCCTATCAAGGTTGTGGTATACGACGGAGAGAAGGAACTGGGTGTCCTGCACGGCGCGGAACATCTCCAGCGTGGCGTAATCTTTTTCAGCTATGTCGAGGTAACGTAGGCTGTTTTCGAGTGCTTCGGCTGCGGCGAATGGCGGCCCTTGTTGGGATAGATGCATGGAAAGCAGAGAGAGATGCTTACGTTTCGAGTCTTCCGAGACAATTATACACCTCGCAAGCGTGAAGCATGCAAACGCTCGCTGCTCTAAGTCGTCGCCGTTGATAACCTAGGAGATTTGGTCAGTAGACAAGCGGGGTTCACATCATCCACGTCACCTCACCTGAGGCATAATATCCTCAATGAGCCTACGACACCACTTCGTCATGCCGTACTCAAGGCCGACATCAGCAAGCAGCACGAGTGCCGTCCGGTAGCTTCCGAATCGTTGCTGAAACTCTGCATGCCAGACCACGTTCAGTAACGACTCGACAGTGTTTTGCACCTGCTTTACTTGCTGTGGGTCCGTGAGCTTTAGAACTATATCCAGCCGACGGAAGATGCACGTACTTTAGCAGCGATGACCTCAAAGAGGGGGTCGCGTATGAGAGAGCCCAAGACCTGTGAACCTGAGCCGAACCAATACTCGCGGGGATGGTAGGTTCCCGGGGGTCGTTTCGGCAGGAGAAACTCGTGATACATGTGTTCTTGGCCCCTAGACACTATGTCACCGAGGAGTTCGAGAAAAGTGCACGGAAAATGTCTACCGGCGGGTAGCCCGTAGCACCAGTACGTGCCAAATCTCATTTGCCCACTGCTGGATGTCGACAGCCGTGAGCCCGGCCCAGACACGTGGCTCAAGTAAGTCCGCAATTGCTTCTTGATATTCGCCTTGCCTTGCTCGCTGCGTGATATCAGGACATTTCCACTGCAAAGCGCGGAGATGGGGTGCTCACGCGGTAAGCACGGTTCAAATTCGATGCTAGTATCGTATTATCAGGGCTGCCCGCTTCAGTCAGGGCAGTCACAAGGCAGTCTTCGACCTCAGCGAGTTGATTATTTCCTGGACAGCCGGTAAGTTGGCCTTGTTCTTGAAAGGGTTCTAGCCACACAAACCCATCATGTTCCATGCCACGCTTTCGACAGCGTGTGCACCCCACTGTTCGGCTTCCGTAATCATCTGGTTTTGCGTATCTGACCAGGCATCATACAACACAGAGGCCTGAGTCATGCGCTCGAAGGACGCGGAGAGGGGTTGTTGCTAAAGATAATCTTCTGCTGAGAAGAAGCCAGGATACGCATAGAAGAAAGACACACGAAGCCGACTGTCAGAAGCTTCTTGACGTCATAGAGGACTTCCCAAGGATGCAAATCAGCTTGGATCTCGTTGATCAAAGGCCTCTTCCCGCGCTCGAGCGAGGGAAGCCGGTTCATGAGGCTTGGCCGTTGTCTGAGATGGAAGGCTTGATAAAGAACGAAAAGAGACGCACCTAGTGCAATGCTGCAATGTCAGACGGTCGTTGCATGTGCGCGCGGTGGTAATTGCTTCTTGGAGCAACTGCGCAAAGGTCAGTGCTGCCTCGAAACACATCGAGGATACCGCACCTTTCGACAAGCTGGATACTCATGTCGCAAAAAGTGCATACGCGCCATATTTAACAGCGCATGCTGCCGAAGCCCACTGGAGAGCAGCGTTAAACAAACAAGAACCAGATGCCGCATGAATATACACACGAGTCGTTCTGGTCATGAAAATGCTGTTCGAAGAATTTTCGAAGGTGCTCTGACGCAATGATCTCGTCCCCCGTAGCCAAGCCTAGTTCCCACCTGAAGCATTGGTCAACTCTCGGATATAAGAGCTGGTGACCGGGTCTTACAGCGCGTAATCTTCCGCATAGGCATACTCTTTCTTTTCGGAATCCGTCTTCATGATGTGAAAAGCTGCCCTTTTTAATAATCTATGGTGTAAACATGGAAGAAAATTGCTCACAGTTGTTGAGGAGATCTTTGCGAACGCGATATGTGGTCTCGTCAAGCCTCCCTAAGATCCAATGGTGGAACTCATGCCACAGCGCGCTGACGGCTTCGAACGAGAGCTTCGTGAAGGTGACATAGCACCTTCGTGTGAAGTATCCAAAGAGGGAGCGGCGGGCCTAGAAGGCAGGTTGGCATCTACCCGATCCTGGCCTCGCGAACTTACAAAGCGAGATCCCTGTTTTATGAGTCCATGGAGCGGCTACTTGGCTGGTGTAGTTCAACTTACCTCGTCTTCTTCTCTTCCGACAAATAGAGATTGCAGCGCTTTTTTAGATGTACGTTAGGGTGAACAGAGTGGGGAGAGACAACTACAGACCTTGAAAGAAGACGACAAGTGTATCGGGTGTTATGACCTTCTTCGGCTGCAGAAATTCGATCAGCCAACTGTTGCAAGTTCTTTATGTGGAGCAGCACCCAAGTCTCAATTTCAGTCAGTACTTGCACGACCCCTTCGTCCCCTCCTTTTGCACCTTCACGTAGGTTCGCCATAATCTGTTGGAAGTTCGCGGGCTGACGACACTGAACCTGTCTTGAGCATTTCTTTCTTGTACAGTGTTAGACAGACATGGCGTACTTCTGCCACTTCCGAGATGAGGATTCGGTACGCATGTAGAAGAAAGCTCGAGGGGAGCTCCAAATTTGTGCAGAACAGGACCACGAATATGTTGAGCAAATTTACATGATGTGGCTTGAGGTCATGTGCGATGGGCGGCGGGACTGCGTTCGGATGAGGCTGGGCTCGTTGGTTCTGGAGAGTCGCCATGGGCGGCAGAGCCGAGATGAACAGACGCGTCCGTCCTCGACCGAGGAACGCGTCGAGTCGCGTGGCGCTGATGACCGTGAGAATTTGATGCGCCTCCGAATTTTGGGACTCGGCGGCGTCTCTGCCGCCCAGCCCATCCCGCCATGGCCGTCAAAAATAACAAGAAGCGCGCCGCGCCGCCAGTTTCTGTAAGTTTTTGGTAGCTTGCTCCCATAACTACTCCCAATGTTATCTCTAGGGACCTTCGAAAAAGCGCAAAGTCGCACCAACTAAGGAAGCAGACGGCGGTGGCAAGAAGAAAGTCAAAGCCAAGGGCAAGGAGAAGGCGGCGGACAGAGAGACGATCCCCATCCCCATCCCCGTAGGTGACGACGATATAGAACTCTCCGAAGATGTCATGGATATGCTTAAGGAATATGGCGGTGCCGTCTCATTCCTCAGCAGGTTAGACGAGAAGGAGATAGCAAAGTGCGTCTAATATCAGTCTACTCGAGATTGCAGGCTTCATATATTCTCTCTCATAGGAGCAAAAAGGAGATCGACAGACTTCATCGTATGCACAAGCCCGCTCGTGCACATGTTACAGACGATTTACCTTCCTTGGATTCCGACGGCGAGGAAGATGGCAGAGAAGAGTGGAGTTCTGGTCTGGAATCGTCTGACGGAGAGGAAGAGGCAGAGAGTGTGGATGAAGACGAAGAGGTCGTCTCCGACGAAGACGACGGTTCTGTGCCTGGTTCTGACACAGCCCCAAAACGCAAGGAGAAACGCCGCGACTCCGATGACGAGGAAATGCCGTATGAAGCGGCACCGAGAAAACGTAGACCATCTTGGGATCCTGAGTCCGACAACGACGAAGGTATAGAACGGCTACCCATCAAACTTCCAGGCGGTCGTGTGCTCAAAAGCAGGGAGAAGGTGCATCTACCCCAGGAGGAGAAGGAAGAGAGCTCGGATGAGTCGGACGTCCTGCTCCCTCCAGAGCAGGAGCCTAAAGTCGAAGACGTGTCCACAGGGGCGCGCTTTGGTCGACTAGCAGTCGTGGACGTTATCAGTCAGAAGTCCCGAAAGGCGCGGATACAGGCCGCAAAGGAGCAGATTGCTGGTATCTGTCAGGAAATTGTCGCAGACCCCGAGAACAGCGCAAGTGTTGTGTTCGTCGCTATCCGCATGCTACAGCTAACGATTACAACAGTTAGGTCTCCTTCGTCGTCTTCACACGTTTTCCTTGCCCCAAATCTCGACCCCCTCGCATCCCGAACCTGTCTCGAACGACCCTCTAATTCGTAGATTGACTTTCCTCTCCCAACTTGCCGTCTTCAAAGATATCATTCCTGGTTACCGGATCCGTGCTCTCACGGATAAGGAAAAGGCTGAGAAGGTCAGTCAGATGGTCCAGCGGACGCGAGACTGGGAGCAAGGCCTGGTCGGTGTATACCAGCAGCATCTCCGGTCCCTGGAGGCCGAAGTCAAAGGTATGACTCGCTCCACCTATGATCCATGAAACAATGTCTGATTGCACCAGCACCGGTTAGCCAAGAACGAGCTAAGCGATGTAGCGCTACAGTGCATGTGCACCCTTCTAGTAGAGGTCACGCACTTCAACTTCCGGACCAACCTCATGAGCACTATTGTTGGCGCCCTCAGCAGGAAGTCCTGGGACAAGGTAAAAATTCCCCATTCAGCCTTTGTCTTCCGTACTGTCGGCTCACGCGCTTCGAATTCTTCACCCTGCGCTAGACATCGGACCTCTGCCTCAACACCCTCATCGCCGTCTTCCGGGCCGACAACACAGGGGTCTCTTCGTTGGAAATTGTCCGATTGCTGAACCGCATGATTAAAGAGCGCAAGTTCAGCGTCCATCCGGAAGTTTTGACGTGCCTTGCCCATTTGCGGTTGAAGACCGAGCTTGGTGTCCGTGCATCAGAAACCAGGGCTGACAAGCCCGATGAGCTGAAGATGGGCAAGACCAAGGCTGCTGCGCGGCGAGCAAAGGGCAAGGAAACGGGTCAGCCGCACTTGAGCAAGAAGGCGAAAAAGGAGAAGAAGGAGAAGAAAGAGATCGAGAAGGAGATGAACGAGGCGGCAGCTGAGGTCGACAAGGAGGAGCGCGCCGCTCACGTAAGCATCCTGCCATACTTTGACAACCACCGCCGGGTGCTGATGTCTGCCGCTGTCGACTAGCAAACGGAGACGCTCAAGTTGCTCTTTGTGCTGTATTTCCGAATACTCAAGAACCCTCACCCGACCCCGCTCTTACCGGCGGCGCTGCGCGGCATTGCGAAATTCGCCCATCTGGTCAACATCGATTTTTTCAAGGACCTGATGCAAGTTCTCAAGGACCTGATGGCTCGGGAAACGCGATCATCAGAGGACGTCGGCGCTGAGATTCTCCCGCACGTCAGGCTCGTTCAGCATCAGCTCCTGTGCATCGTTACCGCATTCGAGCTGTTGTCAGGACAAGGTAAGGCTATTCCCAGCTATCGTGGGTGACGGGCACCGCTGACATCTCGGCAACAGGGGAGGCGTTGGAGATCGATCTGAGCGACTTCATCACGCGCCTGTACGCGATGCTCCCCTCGCTCGCATTCATGGCCGACATCGAAGCGCCGCCGCGGACGTCGTTCCAGGCGAGCGGAGCCGTGGCGTCGTCGCCCGGCGCACAGAGCGCGTCGGACACCCTCTTCCGCGCGCTGCACCTCGCCTTCTCGCGCCGGACCTCCGCGGGCGCCTCGCCGCCCTGGCGCTCCGCCGCGCTCGCGAAACGGCTGCTGGGCTCGTCGCTCCAGTGGCCTCCGGACACTGCCACGCGTGCCATCGCGTTCGTCGGCGACCTGGTCGACGGTGATCCGAAGCTCGGGGCGCTCTTGTCGACTGACGAACGCAGCGTCGACGGCGTCTACCGCCCGGACCTTGACGACCCGCAGCTGTGCCATCCGTTCGCGACAAACTTCTGGGAGCTGCACCTCCTCGCGGAGAGGCACTGGAGCTTGCGGGTGCGGGAGGCGGCTGCAAAGCTCTTGAATTCATCATCCTCATAGTATTTAGCTGCACATGCAATGTGTCCGTGAGTCTACGCTACAGGAAATATAACCATCAGGCTCACGTTCAAATAAGTAATAAATGACAGACCGAGCCGTGTGCCAATAATTAGCGGCTACAAACGGTCAGAAAGCGAAACGAGGTGCTATCAGTACATTAGGGCGTATGCTACAACCGAAAACACGCGCAGACAATAAGCTTCCTGAAACCCCTCAGGCTAAAGGTCCGTCTTTGCGCGGTCGAGATCAGAAACGTTTCGAAGATAGGAGACTTTCCAAAGGTAGGGAGAGAGAGAGAGAGAGAGAGAGAGATGCTGGGAACCACGTTCGATCGCGCCTGCCACTAACGTTTGCGCCGGGCGAACAGGTCATGATCGTGGATAATACATTCTTCCAGGCGGCGGATTCGTGCCAAGGAGCCCCGCACTGCCGCTGTCGGGTGCACCGTGACCGCCGCCGCCGCCGCTGCCAGCGCCCAGGTCCCCAGATTCCTGCGCCAGCACGGAGAGCTGAGGCGCGGCGGAGAAGGCGTACGGGGGGCTTCCGACGAGGTAGCCGGGAGTGTGGGCTGCGCCCGAGGGGGCGGCGGCGGCGGCGGCGGCGGCGTGCGCCATGGGGGGCGACGAGGAGAACGACTGCGACGGGGGCCTGCTCGCCGGGGTCGCTCGGCGCTTCTGGAAGCCCATCAGCTCTGCCGAGGGCCCGGTGCCAGCCGGGGTGCGCTCGATGTGGAAGAGGACGACGGCGAGGACGAGGCCGTCGACGGTGAACTGCTGCACGATGAGATCTGAGCCTGCGCGGGAAAGAAAAAGGAAAAAAAAAAGTGTGTGAGCACTACTGGTGTGGGTAAGGGGCACGTGACCACGAGAAGATCACCTCCGCCACGAGGCGGACGCATTGCAAAGGGGGAAGGCAAAGGGTGTAAGCTTACCGTTCTGCAGCCACTTGCACCTGCTGAGGGACGAGTCCGGAAGGTTGAAGGACACGGCCGGCGGCGGATGGCCGAGTGCGTGATGTACGTGAGCCGCTGGGAGACTGTCGAGCATGCCCACCTCCTGGCTGACACACACGCGGCCGGCATAGACAGACGTGGTGCACCTCGCTTGGGTGTGCCACTGACTGGAGAGCGTCACGGCGCCGTGGAAGCCGTGCAGATTAGGAGAGGTGAAGATGTCGTCAGCCGAGGGGATGGATATCTTGATGCGGAGCATAACGGTCGATGGGCTGTCATGGAGCGGTACGGGCGGTATCGCCATCCCCCGGATGATCTGGTCGACGGCGGTGGAAAACACGGGCATGCCCTCTGCCCAGAGCGACAAGGTGAGGAACTGGGTCGGCGGTTGCATCATCGGGTAGATGGGCGATGTGTCGGCGCTGACGTTCATGTATCCAGAGAGGGGACTGGCCGGCAAGGCGTATGGGCCGCCGCCCATGAGGAGAGGCTCGAGCTTGACAGAGCCCTTGATCCGGTCGCTTGAAGGCGGGGACGGCGGCGGTGTCCCCTGTGCGACTGCGATCGGGCCCGAGACGCCAGGGTATGCGTCGAAGGCGCGCCCGCTGTCCAAGGATCCAAGCGCAGCGACCGGAGAACGGTCTTGCGTGTACACTCCACTGGACGAAGCGCGTGTCGCGAAATCGGATGTCAAGTAGTCCGGCGTCGTGGACGAGGATGACGACATTGCCTCTGGGGACGGTAGGCTGTCTCCGGGCTCCGAACCAGCATTGGGCTCTGGAGACGCCAGCAGCCCGTTCTCTGCAAAGAGCTCTTCCCCTCCAGCAACCAGATGGAACTCTGCGCCAATTTTTTTTTTCTCCTCCGTGAGTTACCAACCAGATGTGCTGACACTAGGGAGCGTACCTGGTTCGCCTCTCCACATATTGCGAAGGACCTGTATGTGGCTTGCGACCTGCTTCTTGGATCGCTCGATGGCGTTCTTCTTGAGGTGCTCTACAAGGAACTGGTTTCTCCATCTGCTGCGGCCACGCGAGTAGGTTGCCCATGGAGATTCCCAGTAGTCTCTGAGCCCTGTGAGGATTTGGCGGTGTTGAGTGCTGACCGGAGAGGTGAAGGCGTGGGGCATACCTTGGACGAAGATTTTCTCGACCTCCTCTGACCAAACCTCGCTGCCATCCTTGAGCAGCTTGTGGTGTTTGCGGTGAGGAGTGAGAGACTTTGGAGAGGGCGCGTCTGACATGCACTTGTCGATTGCCAGAGGCTTTGAGCGGGCGGACGGGGACGGGGTGGTGGAGGGAGTGCGTTGTGCACGGACGCGACGCGACGTGCGGTCGAGCCCCATGTAAGAGGCGGGACTGAGCGTGAGTAGGAGGCAAATAGGATTTGGGAATGCGAAAGAGGGATCAGAAGGGAAAAGGCAATCCGAGCTAAAGCCGTTATATACGGGAAAGAGGACCCTGTTCTGACGCGTATGTTCTGTGATAGCAGACAAATACAACGGGTGTGCAGAGCTCGGCGCCGCGCCCAGAGCCGGAGGCCCCGTCGTGATCCGGGCAGGCAGCGGCGGACGAGGCGGTCCATCCCCTGACTCGCTTGCCGTGACTCGCGAGGCTGGCAGACACGGGACGTGGGTGGGTTGGAATGGATCTTGCGCTCGTCCCCCGACGACACAGAGCCTCTGTCTGCTTCGAGCCTAGGTTCCGTGTTCTCGGACGTCCTCACAGCATTTTCTTTTTTTCTTTTTTTTTTTTTCTATATGCTCTGCCGACACACTCTCCACACAATAAGACTGTGACTGTGTCCACGGAAATAACGTCGCCTGCGGGGGACTGACGCCAGGACACGGGTCACGGCGAGTCCTTTGAGGCTTCCGGTTATGGAAGGCGGGCGGGCGCGCGAAGGAGAGACAGAGACCAAGGCCCGATGTGGCTCACAAAAAGAAGAGTGGAACTCCGGGAGCGGCGGGTGTGGTCGCGCTGGATTGTCCGCGGTCGCTGGCCCTGGCAACGCTCCGGATCCCAAGGAAGAGGAGAGAGACAATTAAAGGGCAGATGGCAAACGCGGGGCATCTGGGTTGCAGATCAGCCAGCCTCGTGCTGCACCGGAAGCAAATCTTACTTGCGCGCGGAAGCATCTGCCCTCTAGAATCTCGTCCAAGTCCCTGCAGCACTCGCCAAACAGGCACTCATGACCCCAGAACTTGTCGCCCGACTGCCTCTCCGACAACAAGGGCCAACTCTCTTTCACCCTGCCCCATCCGATCTCACGTCACACGCCGCCACAATCCTCCCGCCCCGCTCCCAGTTCGCACTTCTCTCCTCTGCTGCCGCCGCCGCCGCCGCCGCCGCCGCCGCCAGTCCGCTCGTCCGCTGGGGGAGTCCTCGGCGCAGCGACGCCCGTGCCACATCGGCGGAGCGGCGGACTTTCAATCGGCCATCGGCACAGTTGATCCCCCGCTGACGCCCGATCTTCCGGCGCTTCGCTTACCGTCATGAGCTCGTCCGCCGAGTCCCTCACGCACAAGTGGCTCCGGCACAACATACAGTCATATGCCCACAGCGACACCGTCTACGCACACGTCGGCACCGCCCTCGCCCGCCACCCGTCGGTGAGACCAAAGACCGACGTCTACAGTTCAGTCCCTGTCACAGTGCCCGACTAGTCCACTGACACAAAGCGTTCCTCCCATCCAGCCTACGACGACGGCCGGACACAGCTTCTGCTATGCCTCCACGGTCTCCTCCCCATCTCGTACCGTGGCACTGCATACAACATCCCGATCGCCCTCTGGATAACTAGGGACTACCCGCGTCAGCCACCGATTGCCTATGTCGTGCCTACAAGCGACATGCTCGTGCGCCCCAGCAAACACGTCGACGTCAGCGGGAGATGCGAGATCGACTACATTGGCAACTGGGCCAGGAAAAGCGAGGTGCGTCCTCGATCGCGTCTAGGAGCCTTGCAGCCTCTCGATGACGACTGATTCGACGGCCTCGATCGGTCCTGGGATCGTAGGGCTGCAACATTTTGGCGCTGCTCGAAGCCTTGCAAGACCAATTTTCTCGTGAGCCGCCGGTATACGCGAAGCCCAGAACAGATGCTTCGTCTCCAGCTGCGCGGACCCAGTCTTCCCGCCCAGATACCACCGGTCCCAACTACTCAGCGCGCCCTCCACCGCCTCTACCGGGAACACGCCCTCCGCAACAGCCCCAGACCCAGTCTGTGCCAGCGACGATGCCGAAGAATGACGATCCGCCCCCGTTACCCTCCAAGCCCAGCATCGCTTCACCTCTCAACCCCGTGTCCACGGCAGTTGCTGTCGCTGGACCATCAGTGGATGTCCGCGTGCAGTCAGCTGGCGTAACGCCGTCGGTGAGTGCGCCTTGGCCTCTGATCACGGACTTCTGACCGTTGTCGATCGTCAATGCCATTTTAGCCCGCCTTCGCTACCCGCCCACCGCCGCCATTGCCGCCGCATCCACCACGCGACTCCGAGCTTCCCCAGTATAGAAACATTCAGGGGCCGCCGCAATACACCGCCGCAGACCGTCCGATTTCGAACCCGACGCCTGCGTCGGCGCAGCAGGCAGGATTAGCAAATCGAACTACGCGGACACTGAACCCACCGATCGATCCCAGTCATGCGCCGCGGTACGCTTCTCCCCCGGTGACACCTCACGCGTCGACGCGTCCTCTTGTCCACGCGGCTCCAACACCGTACGGCCCAACACCTCCGCCTCCGCCAGTTCCTACGTCTCCTCGGATCTCACAACCGCAGCCACTGCAGCCACCTGTGCTTCTGCCCCCGCCATTCATATCTCCTCAGCCTACCGGTGCTGTACACGTCAATGGCCCACATGGACCACCGCAGCCACCGATGCCTCCTCCTCCGCCACCACACGCTAATTCTGCGCCAGCGCCAGTGTCACACCAGCCACCGTCTATACCTCCGCCTGATCTGTTAGATGCTGAAGATGACTCAGTCTCATCTATCGCGCCGGCGTCTCAAGCCCCTGCCCCACCACGCCCGCCCAACCCGGAACTCGCCCGCCTGCACGACCAGGTGCACGCGAAGCTGTCGTCGGAGCTCGCATCGCTGACTCAGGCGATGGCGCTCGACGGCGAGCGGCTGCGCGCCCACCAGAACGACCTGCTCGCGGGAGAACCGGCCGTCCGCGACGAGATGGCGCGCCTGGAGGCGGTCCGGGACGTGTGCCAGGGCGTCAGCGCGCGCGTCGAAGCCGTCGTGGAAGGCGCGGAGCGGAATGTGGCTGAACTCAAGCGCAAGGGCGACCCGGACGTCGACGAGCTCGTCTGTGCCACCACGATCGTCCACAACCAGTGCGTGACACCCTTTTTTTTTTTCCTAATTGTCTCTCCGGCCCTGTCAAAATTTTTTTGGGCCTCCATTCATTACTCAATCTGGCACGTCTTCCCCCAACTGTAGGCTGATCAATCTCGTGGCGGAAGACAATGCCATCGAAGATACGATATACCATCTTCACAGGGCCCTGAACGCCGGGCGCATAGATCTCGAACGTTTCCTACGGGTACGTCATCTCCCCCCCCCTTCCCTTCCGCACAGGGCCGGAGGCTCTGCCCCCGAGGCTTATAGCTTATCTTGCAAAAACAGACGGCGCGCAGCCTGGCCGAAGAACAATTCATGAAGCGGGCGTTAACGGAGAAGATTCTGGCCGGGGTGCCGATGCGGGGCTTTGCCATGTCCATGCGCCCCGAGTGGTCGTAGTGAGGGGACGAGAGGGGGCCCGTTTAAGCGTCGCAGTGTTCGTCGCCGTACAGCTTGCCTGCTCGCACAGCATATCCTAGGATGTGGCGTCCGCTTAGTGGTGGATGCTCTAGACCGCCCCCCGAAAAAATGTGACTCGCCTGCCCAGACGTCCGAGAAAACCTTTTGAAACCTTGTCTGCGCGCGCTCCACAGGTCCGCCGCTGCCGCTGCCCTACTGCCCCGCCTTGCCCGCGTGGGCTGTTTTCGCCGGCGCAGCGCGCCGAGCTTATTGTGCACGCTACGTACCCCCCTCCCCCCCCCCTTCCGTCGGCGCCCCAGCCGAGGGGGCCTCGCCTGGAACATTGGCCGGCTGTGTCGCACATTGTTGTGCTGCCGTGCCACCCCCCTCGCTTTGCCGACTCGAGCAGCGGCCGGTATCAGGAGGACAACTTGCTACACGGATGGGGCCGCGCTGGCACATCAGCTGAGCCACACCGCGTCTACCGATTCGCTGGTGTCTTGTGGGATGGGGGGGGGGGGGGTTCCTGAGGTCTGGGGACTGTCGTGCTTTGTCTGGACCCGTTCTGTTCTGCGGATCGCGTCACCAGACGAGGCATCGCAGGAGTCGCACGCGGTCCCCAGCGTTCTTATTACACTTCTTGCTTGCCCAGAAGAGACAAACGGTGTGATTTTTTCTCCAACTTTGATCGATACTACTGGTACAAGTCGCAAATAAGGATACATGCACGGACAGTCTCGACCCACGTAGACCAACAGAGCGTAGACTCGGCGAAACAAAAACATGATGAATCAATAGGTACGGCGGCGATCACCAATCACAATCAGAGCATACGAGTACGAGGAACAAGAAGTAAATCAGGAAAAAGACAGAGTGAGACCGGACGCGTATCGAGACATTAACTAATAAACAGCGGGCGAATCGTCAGAAGCATTCCATCGTTTGTGCAGCTCATGTGGCACATCACACGTCGTCATCATTCATGCGGGAGTCGCAGGAGTCGAGGGCAACTCGTACGCAAGCGTCTGGCCGACGCTGCCCACCCAGCGCCACACGCGCATCTCGTCCCCGCCCGCGACCTCCTCGAGGTTCGTGCGCACGTTCGTGTTCGCCTCGACGATGCGCTCGACCTCCTTCCACAGCCGCTGGCGCGTCGCGACCGAGTGCTCGCCCTGGAGGACGGCATCGCGCAGCTGCGTGGACGGGACGTACGGCCGCGGCGCGGAGACTGGGTCCGTGTGGTGCACGAGCTCCTGGTTCCGGAGCATGTCGTACACCGTGTCGACGAGCACGGTGACGCGCTCGCGGTCCTCGAGGCGCTGCTTGCGACGGTGCTTAGCCATCCACGCTGACAAGAGCAGAGCGAGCGAGCCTGTGTTTTGTCAGCCACGAGCTCATGTGGAGGCGCTCCAAGCCAACTTACCAAACGCTTGCTTCCACCACATGTCCCGATACTCGAGTGCTTTCACCTTCACCGCGCACATCATGTCGAGCTTAGGTGTGCGATGCGCAACATAACGGTGCCCCCTACAACCCCACGTTAGTCAGGACCGCGGACAAATCTGACTGAAAATACTCACTGTTCATCCTCGCCGATGAAAACACCACCCCATTCGACAAGTTGTTGAATCGCTTCGTTAAATGTGTCGTCGAGAGTGGACAGCAATTGCGACTATGTGAACCATGCTTCAGCTTGCGACCTGTGATAGACATGTCATGTTGATACTGACCGGCGATTTCGACTTCTTGATGACATCCTTCCTGATGCTCTCCTTGAGCGCATCGACTTCCACACCCCACTTCTTAGCCTCTTGAGCGACCTTCCCCGGTTTATCGTCGGGGCGCGCGCCATCACAAAGTCGACGGCCCCTTTCGGCGGCGAGTTTGGAGTCGATGGTCCGTCCCATGGCACCGATGTGACGCTTGCGCATAGGATCTTCAACACAGCGAGGCGGGAATGCGACGGGTCCCAAACCAGGCAACCCGTCCATTATGAGCGACAAGCCGGTGTACGCCAAGTCGAGTGGACTCTTGTTCCCATAGGTTGGTGCGACTGCCAAGGACGGATTGGTGTACGCATTCCGGTTATCAGTCGGTCGGAGTGAAGAAGGGATGGGTAGGAAGGAGAGAAGGGGGTGGGGACGCAGGAGGTAGCCATTCTCGCAGGTGACGGTAGTGGGAGTACAGCTAGCGTGCTCTGGGCACAGCTGGCATGTCTCAGGCCGAGGAAGAGGTAGCAACGGGGGAGGAGGGCAAGCTTCGCTGAGGATGACGTTGGATCCCTCGGTTCCTGTGGCGACCTGCGTCGGCTGAGGCGACGGAACATCCTGGGCGGCGTCGGGATGGGCCAGGAACAATGTGGTCCTGTTCTCTCGATTACATTCTTGAATTGCTGTGCGGCGGACCTTCATTCCCTCCAGTATGTCATTCGTGTTCTTGCCGGTCTCGCAGAAACCAATAGAAGCCGACTCAGTCTTGTACATTCCTAGCGCAGTGAGGACGCTAGTACCGAGAAGAGCAAGCATGAAGTTGCCAAATGAAGGGCCCCAGCCCCTGCTCTTAGGTCTCGGTTGTGTAACCTCCTGACTGGCAACCTCTTGCGAAGACACGAGATCTTGACCCTCGGCACTCGGTGCCTGGGAGGGGACATCGAGCTGCGACTCCGACTTCTCCGTCCGCTCCTCGATGATCGAGAGTGCCGGCTGTGTGTGCTCCTCATCTGCAAATGGCTCTCCATATTTCGCGGGGGAAGGACTAGCTAGCGGGTTGGCTAGTTGGGCTATCCTCGAATTGGGCTTTGCCGGACTAGCTTTGGGGCTCAGACGTGGGGTAGCTTGCAGATTTGGTGCAGCGGCAAAGGCTAGTTGCTCCCTTTGCAGCTCAACCTCGGTCTCTTCCTCGTCTGCCTTGACGGCCACGCTTCGGCCAGTCACCGCGACTTCAGGTGTCGTGAGTCTCGCCCGAGAGGTCGTCGCCTCGGAATCCTGAAAGACACTCTCCGGAAGGTCAGGCTTAAATTCACTTTCCGGAGCCTTGACTGCGGCTGTACGTCCTCTGGGGATCTTCGATGGCGACTTCGGGGGAGAAGGTGGGGGAGCAAACTGTGGAGGGAGTGAACTGGCTTTCTTCGCGCGTGCAGGTATGGCGCTGCTCCTGCGGGGGCGAGGCTTGACAGGGGATGGGGAAGCAGATTCAGCACCGGACTGAAAGATATTATTATCTTCCCAGCCAGAATCGATATCATCATGTATACGGGTGGGAGGCGCTACGCGTGACTGACTTGCAGCCTCTGTCGTGGACTAAGCGAGATATGATGAGCTGATAAGCCTGCAAGGCAAAGAAGGGCGTACCGTCTTCTTCCTGCTAACCTTCCTCACCAGAGGCTCGTCAGGCTCACTCTCTTCTGCGACTGTTGTCGGCTCCGGAACCTTCACTGCACGCCTGCGGCTTGTTGTCCTCCCTAGAGAGGGTTCAGCAGAAGCACGGCGGCGTTTACTCTGAAAGAATGTGGTCGGCGATAGATTACACGAGCAGTGGAGCGAAGAACTGACGGGTTCTGGTTTACTGGGCTGCGCGGCAGGCTCAGTTTGGTCCTTCGGTGCAAGAGATGCCCTCCGAGATGCTGCTCTTGTCGTACGCTATGTGGAAACATTGGCGAGGGTGCAACTTTCGGTTGTGAATGTTGAACTCACCTTCCGCTCTTCGTTCAAGGGTCTTCCTGTGAGCCCGTCCGTAATTCCGTCGTCGCTGGCCTGGCTGTTCTGCCTGCTCGACCTCTCCTGCTTAAACTGGTCGGCCCTGGGCTTGATCTCATCATTGAAGACCGCGACAAGCTTCGCTTTGCTGTGAGGAGATGGAAACATGACGCCATGGAATCCAAACAGGCCTAGGAGCTGTGGTATTGTCAGGCTGTTTGGGTCAAAATCGGGATTGAGATAGTCGCCTCGCTCGAGGACTTGGGCGGCAGTAAGGTTTTTGGACATCGTTGGCACTGTTCTGCTCGCTGCCGCACGCGTCGAACGCGGGCCCGTGTTTGCGATCGTGGAGGTCGTGTACAACGTGCGGATGTTCTCACGCGCAAACACGCAAACAAACCACGTAAACAGGGTATCCACGTGACACGTGTAACCCTAACCCTAAACAAGGCCACCGAAACGTTCATGTTCAGGGCGAAAATACAGACATTGATAGTTATATTGAGTCCGCCTATAAATTACATCAAGCATGGTATCGCCTCACTATGGATCCTTTCATTCCGAAGAAAGGGCATTTTATTGAGGGGAGTACTTGGGGCGGAAGGTTCCGGAGGGACCGAACCACTTGCCCTTGATCTACGTCTCGTCAGCGCGTGCTCGTGGCGTGTTGCGAGATGAACGCACCATAAAATTCCAGTATGCCCATGGGAAGAGGTCCTTCTTGAAGTGGTAGAAGAGTCTGAGAGAAGTCGTGTGAGCTGTTGTCTGGTCAATATGACGCGGAACGGCTCACCGGTTGGGCTTGGACTGGTCACCAATGAAGGGGAATTGCCCAAAAGTCTCTTTTGGCTCTGCGCCATATTTGAATTCGGCCAGCATCAGCTCGCCATACCCAGTAAGGAGCTGTGAAGGCGGGGTGAGTGGCCAGCCGCCGGCGTATGAATCGAGGACATACCGGGCAAGAAGTGTAGCCATCGTACCTGGCACCGCTGACCTTGCCGGTATCCATGACGGTGAACAAATTCTCCGTCAGAATGGGGGCCTCAGAGGTGACGGCTGCGGCAGTTTTGGAAGTAGGTGCGCTCGAGGCATCACCAAGAGACCAGACGTTGCTGAACTTCGTTGACTGGAGAGTGCCCGGGTCGACGGCTACCCAGCCGGCTTCGTCAGCAATTGGCGAACCCTTGATGAAGTCCATGGGGCCCATTGGCGGCGTAGCATGGAGCAGAGTATAGTCAACTGTAACATCTGAGTTATCCGCAGCGTTCTTAAAAGTAGCCTTGCGGTTCGCAGTATCAACCTTGACCAAGTTGTGCTGGAAAAAGCCACCGACACCACGCTCAATACGAAGCTGGTTCAGAGCATCGGAGTACTTCTTGACGGCAAACATGGCTGGAGTGGCCGTGTAGAAGTCGACCTTGATCTGATCACCGCGGCCGGTCTTCCGGAAGCGATCCCAGGCCATCCACAAGATTTTTTGGGGAGCTGAGGGTCACGTTGAGTCGATTCGTATTGCCAGTGTCAGGGAGAGTACTGACCTCCACCGCACTTGATGACACCGGCCGGCTGAGTGAATACAGCTTTGCCGGACCTCAATGCCTCAATATCCCGCCAGACTTTGTCGCATGTGTCGTAAGAGTAAATAGATGATACACCTGATGAGGGATCAGCGAGGGCCTTGGGAAGACCTTCAATACCGTCCCAGTTAGTCTTCAAGCCGGCAGAGACAACCAGAGAGTCGTATGAGATCTTGCGGCCAGCGTTAGTAGTGATGCAGTTCGACTCCGGCTGGAATGACTTGACGTAGTCCTTGATGTGCGCAAGATGTCGAGGGATGAGGCCAGACAGATCTTTGCGGGTGTCCTCCTTGCGAAGGAGGCCTGAGGAGACGAGCGTCCTGGAAGTCGAAGTACATTAGAACAGAGTACAGCTGTAGTTCGCGGTATGGTACCCACCATCCTGGCTATGTGAACCAAGCTGTCATACCTCTGATCTCTCAGAAAGCTAGCCACGTACCTGATAGTAGTGAGAGTCAGCTCCATCCACAACAACGATATCCCCCTCGTTCAAAGGCTTCCCAGCTGCTTTGAAGCGGTAGAAGATCTGGTTGGCTACAGTCAAGCCTCCAGAACCTACAGCAGACAATCCCAGACTTAGCATCGTCAATTCAACTACAGTCAACTCTCGAACGCACCTGCACCGACAACGACGATTTTATACTTGTCCTTCTCGGCAGCAGTACTAGCAAAGCGCAGGCTAGTGGACAGGCCAGCTTTAGACTTGAGCAAAGCATTCGTTGCACGCGCAGCTAGCATAACCGCAGGAGATTGAAAAGAGAATATGCACGTCGAATAAGGCGTCACAAGAACAAGAGATAGAAGAGTGAGCTTAGGATCGTGCGCGCAGGAAGAGTGCGTGACAGCTGCTTTTTGTGATCCCAGAGCATTCGGAATTCAGGCAAAAATTACAAAGACTGGCGTCATCGCGGTCGTGCGGTCATGAATTCGGGATAGAGTGAGCTGGCACCCCGAGCACATTGTCGACGCCCTGTAACGTAGGAGGACACGACGGCCATTTGAAGATGCAATAAAAGACCTCGGAGGCGTGCACGTACGAGGCGCACTGCTTTGAACAAATGGACAAAGGCAGGAACAGATCACTGTTGGGCGCTTAGAGGCATCAGCTCTGAGGATGACCAGGACCGCTCACACTGGCCCACCACATCGACACTTCTCTCTCCAGCGATCGTGCATAGGCGGACTAGTGTAAGCTTTCATCAAATTAACCCAACTGTTCGCCTCTTGGAATCCTGGTATCCGAGACACAGCCCCAAGTACTTTGTTCCTGCATCTATCACTGACCAGCTGTGATAGTCGTCAACTGCCAAGTGGCGGACAGATAGATTACCTGCGGTACGAGTCCGCGTATACTAGAGCTTGTCAAATGTATGTTAGAAACTAATACAGACAGATCCGCACGGTCCCGCATTCGACGAGTACATCTACATGCTTTCTCAGATTAACTGGTCGCCGGAAGACTCCCTAGGTTTATTGCAAACCAGAGACCAACATTCAAGACTAGAGGACTAGAAATACCACGCTTACTATGCTTATACGATCTTCGGGCACCGGGTCCGTTATGTCAGTATCTCACGATATCGAGCAGACTGTCGTGAGTTCATGGTTGATGGCAACGGGCGGACTATCGTCGTTAGGTCGCGTTTAGGGTCTCTCGCAGCAGGATATAATCACATAACCAAGTATATATCACCATCTCCGTCGCCTCCGCGCGCCGTCCCGGGCAACATTGGTTTTCGATCGCCCTCCGCGGATTCCTAGCGTATCATTCGTCCTTCTCCTAATCTCTTGTCTGTTCTTTCTTGCACTGGGTGCACATTCCACTCTTTCGGCCAGCAGGACTGTGCACCACGCTGCTTTCCCCCAGTCTGTTGTATTTCTATCATCTGACATCATCATGACTCTTCCTACTCGCCCTAACGCTCGCATTGGCCTCCCTTCCAGCCCCTCCCCCCGTATGCGCACACTAAGTGCAACGGGCCCGCAAGCCGTAGTGTCGCCCCGACCAAGCAGCGCAGCCGCGGACCGAACACAATTAAATGGTCGTTCTACACCCCAGCCACTCCCGCAGTCTGGCCGCTTGCGGACGCAGCGGTCTTTGACAAACCTCCCTCGGAGTCCTTACGCAATTGAGCGAACCGCAGATCGTACACGCATCGATGCATTACCACCCTTGCCGCCTCTGCCTCTCTTGTCCCTGAACTCCACGAAGCCGAACAAGATGGAGTTGTACGAACGCCGCAACGAATCTGCAGCATCGATCTCGAGCGCGTCGTCCGGAAGCTCGTATTCAACCACGCACACGAATTCATGGCCCAGCTCCGCCTCCTCAGATACGAGTCTCACAAGCCTCGAGGACAGTGCGGACAAGGACACTCCCGAACCCAAAGGGGGGACAAAGCCCGCTCCTGGTTTTGGCACTTCTCTGTGGAGCCGTGTCGCAGCTGCTGCGGGCGGTCTGTCCGTGAGCGTGAGTCGAGCATGGGAAGCGAACATTGAGGTTAGCTCCGGGGAAGGTACGGGAACATATCCGCACACGGATGCAGCAATTTGACTGAGCTAATTTCTCAATTTGTAGTCACCCCACCGGGCGAAGAATCTCGGCTGACAAGAGCTATCAAGTCATATCACATCGAGAAGGCTCGCCAGCCGTCAGACCTCCCGGATTGGCTATTTAGCGAGAGGGAACGAGGTGTTCGTGCTGCGGCCCGCTCCGCCGGGTCTGACGAGCGGGCCAAGCAGACCCCTGCTGAGCCCAAGACAGCCAAACGTATAGCAACACCTGCTCGCGCCGGCGCAGGCTCGATAGCGAGGAAGGAGGTGGACGCGGAGTCGGCCGCATCAGCGTCGCGGGCTACGCAGAAGCTGCGAGAGCTTCGTGATGCGAAAGTAACGAAACGAATACCCACGATCCGTTTCGTAGATACACCTCACCCTAGACACGCTGCGTACAAGCGAGTGGATGATGACACGGCCCTTCTGGAGTCCGTCTCCTCTCCTCCGCTGGCCGAGCTGCCCGAGCCGAGGCTTGTAACGAACGTACGCCCGGTTGCCAGCTTAAAGAGCGTTGGTAGGCGTCCAAATGCGGTCGGGCTGCCTTCTAGCGTGAGACCTAGGACTCGGCCATGATACCGTTATGTTATTTGTTGTACTTGTACCGGTATTTGCACTCCCTTACATGCATGGACAACTATTACTTTACACGCCGTGTATGTAGACTTGCGACCTATCTATCCACACCTTGTTCTCGGTCCCCGTTGTTCCCGTTGCAGAAATTCTACATGATGACCTGATGGTAGTCGCATGCCAATGTCTCGCGCACCGGATGGTGTGGTGGTGTTACCCGAGCTGTCACGTTGTCACAGGGTTGTAATGACAGCACATCTTCTGGGACCTGTACGCATCTGTTGGCGATGCTGGCTTGAGATGGCGCATCTGCCACCGTAGGTTGACTGTCCGACAAGATGTGGACACCGGGTGCACAGCGTGACGAACACTGGTGGGAAGCCCCCAACCGCCGGCAATCGACTAGGCTCGTTTCCACCGAGGTGCGGCACCTAGCAACCAGAGAAGAGGGACTGCAGGCAGAAGATTTCACCCTGGACAAATCTTGGGCGATATGGACGAAGGGGCAGACGCGCGAGAGATGCATGGCTCCGTATATGAAGGCGTTCTAAAAGTGTGCGGTGCAGTCGAGATGGCAGCGGTTGTGAGGGTGAGGGTGTCAAAGAAGCTAGATCTGAGAGACGACCAATCAAGTTCGCCTTGACTTCGAGCAGAAATGCAATCTCGCCGCAGGGAAAGGGGTTGGCGAGGGACGGCCCTGATTGGCTGCGCCTCAAGGAGCATCGAACCCCGAGGGGAAATGTGCTCGTTCGTTTGATATTTCGTCTGATCGGTTGCATGGCGACCCAGCAACACTCGCAAAATTCGCACACAGGTCTGGATACCAGGCGACCGTATATGTACCCCTCGCGCGTAGAATGCGCTTCATCCTTCCCTTTCCTCCTGCTTCCTCTCTCCGTTTCGTTCTCTATCCTTTGTGTCGAGTTGATTCTCGGCCATCCACGTTCCTTCTCTTTGATAGAGCAACCCGCGTTTTCCCCAGGAGGGTCTCAAGCTTTACGTAGTCCGACCCAGCTCGTCGACGACACAACGGTCTTTATTCTCTATCACTTCTGTATAAACCCTTTTTCGTCCAGTCATGGTTTTCATCGCACCAGTTCTCGGCGCTGCCGCGCTTTTGGCGGGTTTGGTATCCGCTGCCCCGCGACCTGACAGCTCCAGCGGAGACGAGGTTGCCGTTTCTGCTCCATATGGTGTCATCGAATCGGACACTGCTGAGCTCTATTCGTGAGTTTTACAACCGTCTTCGTGCCCTCGATGCTGACAGCAGAAAAAATAAAACAGACAATTGGCGACTGAGTCGGCCGATGCCACGTCCTCTTCCCCGTACTACGCGGCCTCTGCGACGTACGCTGCGGCGGCGACGGGCTATGCTGCGGCCGGCGGGTCCTATTATTCGTCAAGCAGCGACACATGGGATAGCATGGCCACTGCAACCGTCTCGGCGGCGGTAGGCGGATACTACTCGTCAAGCAGCAACACCTGGGATAGCATGGCCACTGCGACTGTCTCCGCGGCGGGCTCTATGATGACTTACGGCTCTGGCAGTAGCGGCTGGGGAGGACAGGGTTACAACGACTGTGTGAACCGTGAGTGAAATTTATCCGCGGTTGTTCCTGCGCCACAATGTGGCGGCGTGGCGGGGACACCTCGACGCTTTCCGTTCTGGGAATTCATGCTGACTATGTGCTGCCGCAGAGTGTGTTGCCTCCTACGGTGCGCCCCCAGCAATGTGGACGCCTACTCCGTCGTCCGGCGGCTCCAGCTCTGGCTCCGGCTCTGGCTCTGGCACAACGCACACCGTCATTGTCGCGCCCACTCAGGGTGTCCTTCGCTTTGTCCCATTCGCAGTTAACGCAACTCCCGGCGATACTGTTCACTTCGTCTGGAATGCGAACAACCACACGGTCACCAAGTCCTCTGAGCTCGAGATTTGCAACAAGACCGGCGATGCGCCGTTCGCCTCCGGCACTCAGAACCAGGGCTTCACCTTCGACCAGGTTGTCAACGACACCAACCCTGTCTTCTACTACTGCGGCACCCCAACCCACTGGTATGTTGCTCTGTTTTCAATAATCGTTCTTGACTGATGCTCACGACGACTACAGCGAGAAGGGAATGTTCGGCATCATCAACCCTCCCAGCATTTCCAACAACGCCAACACCTCTGTCGCGAGCATGATGCCCGCAATGGTTGCGAACAACTCTGATCTGTCCGCAATGGCTGCGTACACCAACAACATGACCCAGGGCAACCTCCAGGCTTCCATGTGGGGTCAGAACATCGATCTCGCGCAGATGCCCGACTGGTCGCACGAGTACGTTATGCAGAACGTCATGTAAGTTACTCGACTACCTGTCTCCGTGTGCTCTCTGACCCCGGCTCTTTCAGGTACGCCCAAGCTCTCATCGCGGAGAACCCCGATGTCATTGGTTCGACCGGCGCTATTGACATGTCTGCTGGTGGCAACCCCATCAAGTTCCCCATGGATATTACCTCCGCCATCAACAACGCCGGCTCTGGCTCGCCCAGCAGCAGCGCTGGCTCAGCGCCATCGTCCTCTGCTCCCGCTTCCTCTGCCTCCGCCAGCGCGTCTGCGTCTCCTTCGCCTGCGGCGGGTAAGTCCAACGGTGCGGGACGCACCCTCGCGTCGAGCGCCCTCGTCGGCGTTGCTGTCATAGCGGCCTCTTTCCTTGCGCTCTAAGCTATGCTGGAAATCTGGACATACTTTCGTGATAGTCTATACCGCTGTGTTTTCGCTTTGCACGGACCTTTCGGACTCTTTAGCTTACCTCTTCTACCCCTTTTTTACACATCTTTGAAGCAGCACCATGTCTCGCATGCGAGGAAAGGCTTAGGCAGCCGTTGTAGCTGTAGTTACTTTGAAACAACGGTTCTCTACTGCATATTAAATGCATCGTTGTAAAGAACGTTGCGGCATTGCATGCTGCCAACGCATTTGACATTGCGAGGGTAGGTGATTACTGACCGATCAAACATGCAACGCAAGTCCGTTCGCGGCGAATTTGTAAACACGTGGCCATATTATCCGTACTCACACAAAGGTATTCTATACCAGGGAACGACTGACGAGCTCAATTAATAATGACCCTAAGGCCAGTATATACTCTACCACCGTCTCCCAAAGAAGCCGGCACTCTTGGCCAGGAAGTTAGACCCAGCCAAAGCCCGGGCAGCCTCCCCTAGACTGTAATCTTCGGCAGACCGCTTCAAAGGGGTAATGGTGACGCCGGTATAGCCACTCGAGTTGCTAGGATTCTCGAAGATCCGCGTATCGGTCTGACAGAGGGTGCCGACGGCTGGTAAGGTCCCATTAGCGAAGTAGGCGTGGATCGCCTCTGCTGTGCACGTCGAGAAGCCGGACAAGGAAGTGTGCTAGATCACACATCAGAAGACATTCAGCTGCGGCCGTAAGCAGATGGTACGCACCCCTGTGGAGTTCTGCTGCAAGACGATAGAGCCCGTAAAACCGGAAGACATGTTCAGTGCGCTACCAAATAGATTAAGATACGGGTGGAGAGGCAGCGAGACACGGCATACCCAACCATAGGGGTCACTGGATCTGGAGCGAGCGAGATGATCTTGTTGAGCACGATGCAACATAGAGAGTACCAGATGCATACCATGAGTATTGGTGATCAAGAGGATGGGGGTGCTTGTATTCTGAGTGAATGATCCTGCGATACATTAGCAGGTTTCATTATGTGTTACTCTAGCAAAATTCTCTACCGTTGAAGGCATCTTTCGCCTTGATGGGCCATTGACTACGCGCCAAGTCAGTCTGAGATAACACTACTGCGGAAGTAGCACCACTCACGCGCATCTGCCCTCGGATAGTGGATACCATGTCGTTGCAAACGTCGAAGACGCATCCGCCATCCTCTGATAATCCGACTTCGCCTCATCAGACGTGCGCACCCTGTCCTCGTCTGCAATGATATCACCACAGGCAATCGGTGCGCTGATGTCCAGAAAGCCGACCACGAATGGCTGAGAAGCGTTGAAGTTGCATGTCGCAAGGTCGACGTCGTTCGCCATCGTCACAGACCCTTGCCATATCGCCGAGGCGTTGCCTTGCTCCAGCGCAGCGAGAGCCTCAAATATGACTTGCCCGGAGGCGAACGGCGTGTACAGCATCTGGAAGATCTGCAGGACGATCACAGTGTAGTCCGCGACGCCGAACGAGATATTCGAAGGATCGCTGTCGTCGTACACGGCGAGCGGTGCCACGTGCAGGGAATCGATGAGCTTGTTGACGCGTGCGCGTATGAGATCGGAGCTTTTGTCGTGGAGTGCACAGAGGGATGGCCCAGCTTCCACACAAGCGTCATAAACGGCCGTCAAGGCATCGTCAGTATCGAGCAGGGAGCTTGACCAGTCGCCTATTTGAAGGATCAGACCAGAGTTATTTGATAATAACGGCCAATAAACTGGGGCGCACCTTGATACCACTGATGTGAGTTGAAAACACCGTCGATGATGAATCGACCAACATTGTCCGGGAACATTGCGGCGAACCTGTTTAACATGAGACACATGTCCTGAGTTGGATCTCCATGAGAATGCGCGACTTACGTTGCGCCCAGTATAGACCCATAACTATAGAACCGGTAAGCCAAGAACGGACTGTCGAGATACTCATCCAACACTCACGATACGCCCCAGTAGTTAACCTTGTCTTGTCCAAGCGCCTTGGCGATGTTGAGCATATCGGTTGCGACGGCTGCGGTTGACACAGACTCTGCGATGGTCGGGTATCTGTCTACCGCGAGCTTCCCAAGAATGTTGGCCTGGGCATAAAAGCGGCCGAATGACGATATAGATTCGTTCACATTCTGCGGGTAGGTAGAGTAGAACTCCAAAGCTTCCGGCGGGGACTTGAAGAGCGACAGCACCGGCGTGCTTTGTCCGATCCCTTCAAGGAAGATTCAGTATCTGTCCGCAATGTCTAGGGACATCAGGCGAAGCATACCGCGAGGATCAAAACCGATGAGATCATACTGAGGGCCTATCACTGCGCGAAAGTAGGGACCTAACTCTTGGACAAAGCTGACCCCAGAGCCACCCGGCCCACCTAGAATCGTCTCAATGGGATTGGGTCTTAGTACGATGAATGACGAACATACCAGGATTAAACAGAACTGATCCTAGGTAGTTTGGATCATTTGAAGAGTAGTTCGATGGGGACATGATTAGAGCAATCTGCGCCTCGCCAGCTTCTGGATCCGAATATTGCAGAGGAAGCTTGAGATAGCCGTCAGTAGTCCGAATTTTCCGACGTTTCCAATTTCTGGGGCTTACAGCGAGCTTGGTGCATTGGAAGGTGTCAAAGCACGGAGTCCAGGTCAGGTTGGCGGTTGCAGGAAGCTGAGAAAAGCGTAAGCAGATGCGCGGAGTGCACGACAAGCGAACCATACGGTGACCCAGCTGAAGGTTTCCTTGCCCGCAGGGGAGCTACCTCTAGATGACAGTGTGAGTAGCAGAACAGTGAAGTGGACAGACAGCGCAATGCTAGGCTTCATTTTCCACATGACGGTAGGGAAAGATGACAAGCAACTGCGGATTATAATCGCCGTGCTTTTTTTTTATAACGCGCTCATCGGCGCCGCGGTCGTCAAGGCTGTCGGAAGAAGTCAATGAGAAGCTGCGCCATCAGCCCTCATATACATATGTGAAGAGTAGAGGTGACTCAAGGAAGATGTGAAAAGACGAAGGGAAAAAAGGAAGGATGACTAGATGTTGAACCTCCGAATCACCACTGAGTACCAGTGAGCGCTGAGCTCCAGTCGCAGTGTGTATTTTCAAAGCCCAGGATAGGCCGTTGAAAGGATACCTATAGCTAAAGCGTAGAATTAAGGTCTGGTAGTATCCTCCTGAACCGGAAGTCGATTACAGTGAGCTTATGGGACTAGGACGGCCCGGGCTTGACGTCAGTGTTGCCGACGAAGTTACTGCGCACAGTCATACCGAGGTCATTAATTGTACCCTGAACGTGTATGCACTTGTCAGGATGCAGGGCCGTTGAATCATGTGGGATGGATGAAAAGCTCGTCGCTGAATGAAGCTAGCCTGCGCGTGCGAAAATCACAGATCACCGCGCACAACCTCCGTTAATTCCTTTATCCGATGCTTGCTCAAACGACGACGAGTCACAACTTCCTTAGTACTAGTGGGCTCTCGGCTTTGGTCGCGTCTATTGTTTGCTCGATGAGTTGATTTAACTCTTGGCAGAGATTGCACAGACAATAATATGTCGCCTCAGGTCTCAGAGAGTCTGCGTAGGCGGAGTAGACCTAGGCCTGGTTCTGGCACGCATGCCATGATCGTCATGATCTTCCAGCGGGCAATTATGCTCACAGACATTGCTAGCTTCTGACGCTGGAACGGACAAGGACTCATGCACTCATGTCGAACAACCAATTTTCAAACTGCCTCCGTTCAGTGAATATGCGATTCGCCAAAAGCTTTCGACAGCTAGATACTACTTGAAAAGTCAAGTAGCGTAGCTCTCAAACTTTGATATTGCTCGGCTAGTGGCGTTCACTGTTGGTAGCATTCACTAACGACTCCACAGAACGGGTGTATTTCAGCACCAAGACTGCACGAGCCTGGAGTTCTACAATGACCCGAGTTCAAGTGACGGACTTCCCCAATACCGCCCGGGCCGAAGACGTGTCCACTCGTATATATACCCTCTGTGCGATGTCTTCTTGTTCCCAGCTTCGTCCACACGACGGTCTCACTATGAAACCTCTTTTCAGCAACGTCGCTCTTTTCCTGCTCAGCCTGACGCAGGCACAGGCCGCAGTCCGCCGCAGCATCCCATCTCAGCCGACTGTAGGCACTTTTCACCGCCGCACCTACTTCTATGCAGGTGGAGAGTTCGCGCCTCAAAGCCCATCAGTAATCAGTCACGGACAGGTGTATGTCGAACACCTTGTGCCAGAAAAGGTCACTCAGCCGCTCCCACTGCTGATGGTGCACGGGATGGGAATGACTGCTACCAATTTCCTTAACACACCCGACGGTCGCGTTGGGTGGGCAGATCATTTCATGAGCAAGGGCTGGGAGGTAGGACGCCACAGTGCCCGCATCGCAGACATACTCTGATCCAAGCTCTATCACCAGGTCTATCTCATCGACCAGCCTTCTCGTGGGCGGTCGCCCTGGTCGGAGAGTACTGACGGAGATGTTGTCCTTCTGGACACAGAGACTGTCTCGGCCCACTTCACAGCTCCGCAGGACTTTGATCTCTGGCCTCAAGCGGCTCTTCATACCCAATGGCCCGGCAATGGGACACGCGGCGATCCCGTCTTTGACGAGTTTTTCAAGTCGATGGTGCAGTACCTTAACAGCACTTCGCAGTCCGAAGTGGAGCTCCAAGCTGCAGCGACAGACCTGCTCAATAAGACCGGAGTGAGCGAACTATTCCTTATAACTAGGGTCCCTTGTACTCACCAATTGATCAGCCAGTGGTATTACTGACGCACTCGCAGGGTGGCCCTATGGGATGGGTGCTCGCGGACGCAAATCCCGCCAATGTTCATGCCATTTTGGCGATTGAACCTGGAGGCCCGCCGTTCGTGGACGCCGTCCTCGACACCGCCCCTGACAATGTCTGGGGTGTTACCAACATCTCGATAAGCTATTCTCCGCCAGTGGCTTCCCCGTCCGATCTCCAGCCGACTGTCGTCTTCACAGACCCGAGCGTCAGCTTTACCTGCTTCCAGCAAGGCACCAACCCGCCACGGAAGCTCGCAAACCTGGTGGACATACCAGTGCTGATGGTGACGTCCCAGGCAAGTTACCATGCGGTATACGACAACTGCACGGCGGCGTATCTGCAGCAGGCTGGTGTTAGCGTGGATCATGTGCACCTGGAAGACGTCGGGATTACGGGGAACGGACATATGATGTTCATGGAGCTGAACAATATTGAGATAGCGGAGAAGGTGCTTGAACCGTGGCTTGCGAAGACGATCCACTGAAGGCACGAGAAAAGCTCTTTTCTCACTGCTGTTAGCATAAATTTCTGATTGTAACGTTTGTCAGAGTAGTCGCTACGGATGAAGGTTATGTTTTAGTACCTGCGCCGTCCAGCTCTATCCTCAGCTCACTGAGCACTTCCTTTAACACTTCTACCGCATGCTCAACATCTTCAAACGCGCTATGCAGCGTAAGTATGTAGCGCGAGGCGAATTACGGCCAGCTTCCTCGAATCGCCGCACGTTCGGCCACAATTACGTCAGACTGAAGCGCCGACGCCAACACGCGCGCTTGCTCATCGTTCGCTCGTTTCGTTCCTCACCATGTTGCCTCCGTTTGGTGGATATGTAACTTGCCAGAGGCTTTCGACAGTCAAAGACTCGAAAAGTCACGTAGTGTAACTATCAAACTTTTGCATCGCCCAGTGATGCGAATTGCTGTCGTACGCTTGTGGTGCTGTGCGCGCTACTCATCGCCGCTGTCGTTCACTAGGTCGGCTACATTCACTAATGACCCCGCAAGACGGGCGCATATCAACACCAAGGCTACACAAGCCCGGAGCTATATAATGGTTCGAGTGATCTAATACCGCCCGGACCGAAGAGGTATTTGCTCGTATATATACCCTCTAGTCGATGCCTTCTTGTTCCCAGCTTCGTCCACACGACGGTCTCATCATGAAATCTCTCTTCAGCAACGTCGCTCTCTTCCTGCTTAGCCTGACGCAGGCGCAGGCTGCAGTCCATCGCCGCCTCTCGTCTCAGCCGACTGTCGGCACTCTCCACCGCCGCACCTACTTCTATGCAGGCGGAGAGTTTGCACCTCAGAGTCCGTCGGTAATCAGTCACGGACAGGTGTACATTGAGCACCTTGTACCAGCAAATGTCACCCAGCCTCTCCCACTGCTTATGGTGCATGGGATGGGAATGACTGGCACGAATTTCCTCAACACGCCCGACGGTCGCGTCGGGTGGGCGGATCATTTCATGAGTAAGGGCTGGGAGGTATGTAGGGCGCTACATTGCCAGGCGCGCGCTCTGATCCTGGCTCTATGGCCAGGTTTACGTCATAGATCAGCCTTCTCGTGGGCGGTCGGCGTGGTCGGAGAGCACTGACGGAGACGTCAGCCTCCTGGACACAGAGAGCATCGAGTCCCGCTTCACAGCTCCACAGGACTTCAACCTCTGGCCTCAAGCGGCTCTTCATACCCAATGGCCTGGAAATGGAACGCTGGGTGACCCCATTTTTGACGAATTCTTCAAGTCGATGGTGCAGTCTCTCAACAACGGCACGCAGGCTCAAGTGGAGATTCAAGCCGCAGCGGCAGACCTGTTCAACAAGACCGGAGTGAGCGGGCTGTCCTTATAACTATTGGCTCCCACACTCACCAATCGTTCAGCCAGTGGTACTACTAAGCCACTCGCAGGGCGGCCCTATAGGATGGGTGCTGGCAGACGCAAGTCCCGCCAATGTTCATGCCATTTTGGCGATTGAACCCGCCGGCCCGCCCTTCATGGACGCCGTCATCGGCACCTCCCCCGACAACTTCTGGGGCATTGCCAACATCCCGTTGAATTACTCGCCGCCAGCTACATCCCCGTCCGACCTCCAGCCGACTATCGTCTTCACAGACCCGAGCGTCAACTTCACCTGCTTCCAGCAGGGCGCTAACCCGCCACGGAAGCTCGCGAACCTGATGGACATACCGGTGCTAATGGTGACGTCCCAGGCAAGCTATCATGCAGTATATGACAACTGCACGGCGGCGTACCTACAGCAGGCTGGTGTCAACGTGGATCATGTGCACCTGGAAGATGTCGGGATCATGGGGAATGGGCACATGATGTTCATGGAGTTGAATAACATCGAGATAGCGGAGAAGGTGCTTGAACCGTGGCTTGCAAAGACGATCTCCGGAACGCACGAGTAAAGTTCTGTACTCAATGCCGTTAGCATGATTCAAAGTCAAACAGATTATGCTCGCAAGTCACGGTTAAGTTCGTTGAAAGACTCTGCACTTGAATTTGAGTCTCATACTAGCTAACTTCTGACTGTGACATCTATCAGAATAGTTGCTACGGGAGAGAATTAAATTTTTTTGCGTCCTCCTCAGCTCGCTCATCACTTCTCTGCCAGATCTTTCAGTGAAATTACGGGAATAGGACGGCTGGGCTTGACGTCAGCCGATGAAATTACCGTGTGCAGCCGTGCCAAGGTTGCGGCACCCTGAACGTGCGAGCATTGGTCATGATACAGGGTCGTTGAATCACGTGGGATGGACGAGAAGCCCATCGCTGAACGAGGCCAGCTCAGAGTCCAGGCACCCCGGTCAATTCCCTTATATGACACTCAAGCGCCGTGCCACTTCAATTGCCCGTGACGCGTATCTCCCTCCCTTCCCTGGCGGACGCTTCACTGAACTGTGCTTACTCGGACTCTATTGTTTTCTCGGTGAGATGAATAGCTCTTAACCACAATTGCACAGACAGTAGCATGTCGTCTAAGGTTTCAAATCTACGTGGGGCGAGTACCGTCATGGTCTTCCACGCAACCTAACTTGCAGCAACATCTCGCGCGCACCCGGCAGCCACAATTGTGTCAGATAATGTTCACTGCTGACGCGCCCGCGACCCTGAACCGAACAAGGTCTCATGCCGACCTACCGATCCTGCCTCCGTTCGGTGGATATGCGACTCGCCAAAAGCTTTCGATGGCCAGAAACTCGAAAAGTTACACAGCCTAGAATTCTGCAATGGCACGAGTTCAAGTGACGAACTTCCCTAATACTCCTCGGGCCGAAGGCGTGTCTGCTCTTATAGATACCCTCCAGTCGATGTCTTCTCGTTCCCAGATTCGTCTACACGACAGCCTCACTATTAGTAGTAGCTATGCAACCTTTCTTCAACAGCGCTGCTCTCTTCCTGCTCGGCCTGACGCAGGCACAGGCCGCAGTCCACCGTGGCCTTCCGTCCCAGCCGACAACCGTGGGCACTCCCCACCGCCGCACTTACTTCTATGCAGGCGGAGAGTTCGCACCTCAGAGTCCGTCGGTAATCAGTCACGGACAGGTGTACTGTACTTTTATGACCATACCGGATGTCACACGTCACACCGGTTTTCCGCTGACCCCGCCAATAATTTTATCTCGATTTATGGCGAATATGGAGAGTTGTCGGAAAAATCAAATTTGGGGCTTTCATCTGGTAAGGTCGTAAAAGTACAGTATGTCGAGCACCTTGTGCCAGAAAAGGTCACCCAGCCGCTCCCACTGCTGATGGTGCACGGGATGGGAATGACGGGGACCAATTTCCTCAACACGCCTGATGGTCGCGTTGGGTGGGCGGACCATTTCATGAGCAAGGGCTGGGAGGTAGGCGCCACAGCTCTCGCACCGCCAGACACACTCGCTGACTCGGATTCTATCACCAGGTCTACATCGTCGACCAGCCCTCTCGTGGCCGGTCGGCCTGGTCGGAGAGTACTGACGGGGACGTCGGCCTCCTGGATGCAGAGAGCGCCGAGGCCGATTTCACAGCTACGCAGGACTTTAATTTCTGGCCTCAAGCGGCTCTTCATACCCAGTGGCCCGGTAATGGGATGCTCGGCGACCCCACCTTCGACGAGTTCTTCAAATCGACGGTGCAATCTCTCAACAACAGCACGCAGTCCCAAGTGGAGATGCAAGCTGCAGCGGCAGACCTGTTCAACAAGATCGGGGTGAGCGAGTTGGCCTTATAACTAGCGTCTCTGTACTCACCAATTGATTAGCCTGTGGTATTGCTGACGCATTCGCAGGGGGGCCCTATGGGATGGGTGCTGGCAGATGCAAGCCCCGTTAATGTTCGTGCCGTTATGGCTATCGAGCCCAGGGGTCCGCCCTTCAAAGATGTTGTCATGTTCACCGGCCCCTATAACTTCTGGGGCGTCGCCAGCATCCCGCTGAACTACTCGCCACCAGCGACGTCCCCGGCCGACCTCCAGCCGACTATTGTCTCCACCGACCCGAGCCTCAACTTCACCTGTTTCCAGCAAGGCACCGACCCACCTCGGAAGCTCGTGAACCTGGCGGATATACCAGTGCTGATGGTGACATCACAGTCGAGCTTCCATGCAGTATACGACAACTGCACGGCGGCGTACCTGCAGCAGGCTGGCGTCAACGTGGATCATGTGCGCCTGGAAGACGTCGGGATAATGGGCAATGGGCATATGGTGTTCATGGAGTTGAATAATATTGAGATAGCGGAGAAGGTGCTTGAGCCGTGGCTTGCGAAGACGATCCACTGAACGCGAGTTAAGTTCTGTATTCAATGCCGTTAGCATAATTGGTCAAAAGATTACGTTTGCAAGTTTCCATTCACTCGTGGCACTTGCTCAAGTACTCATAACTTCGTGCCAGCATCGTCATGATCTTCTACGCAGCGGCAGCCGCAATTATGTCAGACAAAGTTTGCTTCTGACGCGCGACGCTGGCCTCATGTACATGTTTACCAACCAATGTTGCCTCTGCTCAATGAATATGCGACTCGCCAAAAGCTCTCGACAGCCAGAGTCTGATATCGTTCGGTGTCGGGCACTTGTGATGGTGCCTGTACTCATCGACTAGTGGCGTCGCTATCGCCCACCGCCGACCACATTCACTAACGACGCCACAGAACGCGAGCACATCAGCACCAAGACTGCATGAGCCTAGAGTTCTACAATGGCACGAGTTCGAGTGACGAGCTTCCCTAACACCGCCCGGGCCGAAGACGTACCTACTCGCATATATATCCTCTAGTCGATGTCTTCCTGTCCCCAGCTTCGTCCACACGACGACCTCACGATGAAGACTCTCTTCAATAACATCGCTCTCTTCCTGCTCAGCCTGACGCAGGCACGGGCCGCAGTCCGCCGCAGCATCCCATCTCAGCCGACTGTAGGCACTCTCCACCGCCGCACCTACTTCTATGCTGGCGGAGAGTTCGCACCTCAGAGTCCGTCGGTAATCAGTCACGGACAGGTGTATGTCGAACACCTTGTGCCAGAAAAGGTCACCCAGCCGCTCCCACTGCTGATGGTGCACGGGATGGGAATGACCGGCACGAATTTCCTCAACACGCCCGACGGTCGCGTCGGGTGGGCGGACCATTTCATGAGCAAGGGCTGGGAGGTAGGGCGCCACAGTGCCCGCACCGCCAGACATACTCGCTGACTCGGATGCTATTGTCAGGTGTACATCATCGACCAGCCCTCCCGCGGCCGGTCGGCCTGGTCGGAGAGCACTGATGGGGATGTCGGCCTCTTGGACGCAAGGAACGTCGAGATCGACTTCACAGCTACGCAGGACTTTAACCTCTGGCCCCAAGCGGCTCTTCATTCCCAATGGCCCGGCAATGGGACGCTCGGCGACCCTACCTTTGACGAATTCTTCAAGTCGATGGTGCAATCTCTCAACAACGGCACGCAGCCCGAGTTGGAGATGCAGGCTGCAGCAGCAGACCTGTTCAACAAGACCGGAGTGAGCGGACTGCCCTTATAACTATTCGCTCCCATACTCACAGATATCTAGCCAGTGGTCCTACTAAGCCACTCGCAGTCAGGCCCTATAGGATGGGTACTGGCAGACGCAAGCCCCATTAATGTTCGTGCCATTCTGGCCATCGAGCCCGGAGGCCCGCCCTTCATGGGCGCTGTCATGAACGTCGGCCCCGGCAACTTCTGGGGTGTTTCCAATATCCCGCTGAACTACTCTCCCCCAGCGACGTCCCCTTCCGACCTCCAGCCAGCCGTTGTCTCCACCGACCCGAGTCTCAACTTCACCTGCTTCCAACAGGGCACCGACCCACCTCGGAAGCTCGCGAACCTGGTGGACATACCAGTGCTGATGGTGACATCCCAGGCGAGCTTCCATGCGGTATACGACAACTGCACGGCAGCGTACCTACAGCAGGCTGGTGTCAATGTGGATCATGTGCACCTGGAAGATGTCGGGATCATGGGGAATGGGCATATGATGTTCATGGAGTTGAACAATATTGAGATAGCGGAGAAGGTGCTTGAGCCGTGGCTTGCGAAGACGATCCACTGAACGCGAGTTAAGTTCTGTATTCAATGCCGTTAGCATAATTGGTCAAAAGATCACGCTTGCAGGTTTTCTTATTTGTTGTCTTATACTAGCCGATTTTTGACTGTAATACTTGTCAGGTTAGTTGCTGCGGGAGAGGATTACGCTTTACTTGCGCCGTCCACTTCCGATATCTTCAGCTCACTCAGCGCTTTTTTGCCAGATTTTTCCTGGGCTGGAAGAAGCCGATTGCAGTCACTGACTCGCGGCACTTGCCCAAGTACTCATAACTTCGCGCCAGTATCGTCACGATCTTCTACGCAGCGCGCACCCGGCGGCCGCAATTATCATGTCGGACAAAGTTCGCTTCTGACGCGCGGCGCTGGAACGAACAAGGCTTCATGCACATATTGACCAACCAAATGTTGCCTCCGCTCAATGGATATGCGACTCGCCAAAAGCTTTTGACGACCAGAGTTTGATGTCGCTCAGTGTCGTGCACTTGTGATGATGTCTGTTCTCATCGATCAGTAGGACGTCGCTATCGTTCAATGTCGGTTACATTCACTGACGATGCCACAGAACGCGCGCATATCAGCACCAAGACTGCATGAGCCTAGAGTTTTGCAATGGCACGAGTTCGAATGACGAGCTTCCCTAACACCGCCCGGGCCGAAGACGTACCTACTCGCATATATACCCTCTAGTCGATGTCTTCCTGTCCCCAGCTTCGTCCACACGGCGACCTCACGATGAAGACTCTCTTCAATAACATCGCTCTTTTCCTGCTCAGCCTGACGCAGGCACAGGCCGCAGTCCACCGCCGCCTCCCATCTCAGCTGACTGTAGGCACTCTCCACCGCCGCACCTACTTCTATGCTGGCGGAGAGTTCGCACCTCAGAGTCCGTCGGTAATCAGTCACGGACAGGTGTATGTCGAACACCTTGTGCCAGAAAAGGTCACCCAGCCGCTCCCACTGCTGATGGTGCACGGGATGGGAATGACCGGCACGAATTTCCTCAACACGCCCGACGGTCGCGTCGGGTGGGCGGACCATTTCATGAGCAAGGGCTGGGAGGTAGGGCGCCACAGTGCCCGCACCGCCAGACACACTCGCTGACTCGAATGCTTGTGTCAGGTGTACATCATCGACCAGCCTTCTCGTGGGCGGTCGGCCTGGTCGGAGAGCACTGATGGAGATGTTATCCTCCTGGACGCAAAGAGCATCGAGACCGACTTCACAGCTACGCAGGATTTTAATCTCTGGCCCCAAGCGGCTCTTCATACCCAATGGCCCGGCAATGGGACGCTCGGCGACCCCACCTTCGACGAATTCTTCAGGTCGATGGTGCAGTCTCTCAACAGCTCGACCGGCACGCAGCCCGAGTTGGAGATGCGGGCCGCAGCGGCAGACCTGTTCAACAAGACTGGAGTGAGCGGACTGCCCTTATAACTATTTGCTCCCATACCCATAGATTATTTAGCCAGTGGTCCTACTAACCCACTCGCAGTCGGGCCCTATGGGATGGGTACTGGCAGACGCAAACCCCACTGATGTTCGTGCCATTCTGGCCATCGAGCCCGGAGGCCCGCCCTTCATGGATGCTGTCATGTTCACCGGCCCCGACAACTTCTGGGGTGTTGCCAGCATCCCGCTGAACTACTCTCCCCCAGCGACGTCCCCTTCCGACCTCCAGCCGACTGTTGTCTCCACTGACCCCAGCCTCAACTTCATCTGTTTCCAGCAGGGTACCAACCCGCCGCGGAAGCTCGCGAACCTGGTGGACATACCGGTACTGATGGTCACGGCCCAGGCGAGCTTCCATGCGGTATATGACAACTGCACGGCGGCGTACCTACAGCAGGCTGGTGTCAACGTGGATCATGTGCGCTTGGAAGACGTTGGGATCATGGGGAATGGGCATATGATGTTCATGGAGTTGAACAATATTGAGATAGCGGAGAAGGTCGTTGAACCGTGGCTTGCGAAGACGATCCATTGAGCGCACGAGCAAAGTTCTGCACCCATTGCCACTAGCGTAACTAGCCAAACGATTATACCTGCAAGTTTTCATTGAAAATTTCTGCGCTTGAGTTTGAATCTCATACTAGCTGACTTCTGACTGTAACATCTGTTAAAATAGTTGCTACAGAAGAGGATCATGCTTCACCTGCGCCATCCTCCTCTATCTTCAGCTCACTCAACACTTCCTCTAGCACCTCCACCGCACGCTCAACATCCTCAAACGTGTTATATAGCGCACAGGGCGCAAGTCGAATCACGTCCGGCTTCCTCGAGTCGCCCACGACGCCGCGCTGGGCGAGAGCATCCATGACCTTGGGCATCATTTTGCCACCAATGGGGAAGAACGTCAGCGAGAGCTGCGAGCCACGCTGTGCGGGGTCCACCGGGGTGATGACCGTGAAGCCGAAAACGTCGCGCGCCTCGCGCTCCTCGAGCCCGCCGGCGACGTCGGGCGCGATCCAGAACGCGCTCAGGCGCAGGAGCCGCTCGAGGTGGCCCGTGAGGCGGAGCGAGCGCTCGCGCAGCGGCGCCATCCCGCCGGCGGCGTGGAAGAGCTGCAGCGAGCCGAGGAGCGCGACCGTCGCGAGCACGGACGGGTTCGACTGCTGGAAGCCCTGTGCGCCCGGGATCGCGGCGAACTGCGAGGGCATCGCGAAGCGCGTCGCGGGGTCGTGGCCCCACCAGCCCGCGAACCTATCGGGCAGACCGATAAGCGAGGATGAGAGGACGAGGGCACGATGAAAACGCACTGCGTAGGCCGACCTGCCCAGTGGTCGTGGACGAACAGCCCACCGATGCCGCCTGGCCCAGAGTTGAGATATTTGTAGGTGCACCAAACCGCAAAGTCTACACCCCAGTCGTGTAGCGACATGGGGACGTTACCCACTGCGTGCGCAAGGTCCCATCCACAGACGCAGCCCTGAAAACTAAAGTTGGGCATCAGGATAGTCAAGCAGTAAGGTCAAAGCGCGTACCTGGGCCTTGGCCGCTTTCGTGACGTTTTGCATCGGGAACCACTGACCAGTATAGTATTGCACGCCGCTGAAGAGAACGAGAGCTATGGTCTCACCCTGCTTTGCAATGACCTCGAGCATGTCTTCTTCGCGCAGGGTGAATTCTCCCAGTCGGGGTGCAAGCTCGATGATCGCGTCATACGGGTCAAGGCCATGCCGCATCACCTGGGATGCAAAGGCGTACTGCCAGCGACAAACGTGAGCGGCAACAAATTTGATGGAGACGCGTCGTGCGGACCTGGTCTGACGGGAAAGCCTTGGTCTCGCAGAGGATCTTGTACCGTGCTGTAGTTGGCTTGTAGAATGTGTTGACCATAAGATGGAGGTTGGCTGTCAGAGTGCCCATGCACGCGATCTCAGACTCGTTTGCGCCTGCACAATGAGCAGAGAATGAGACTACTACTGGGGGACGCGGGCGGCTGACTCACTCACCGACGAGTTCTGCAAGAATGGGATGCACGGTGTCCGCAATGTACATCCAGCTACGGTCATGGGGATGGTCGAAATGTCCTTCCACACCGCTGAGTGTCCCACAGCACTTAGTCAATGCCGTTGGTAGGATATTGGGCCGACAGTCATTCACCGAGTTCCCCAGACGTCCAGTTCTTCTTGCACAAGCTGACGCGACCGCTTCGGCATAGCACCAAGCGAGTTTCCGCACAGGTACGTGCACGTTTGATCCACTTTGCGGTCAAGTCAGCGCAGTCTACTGTAAGAGGGAGGTGACCGACGGAGTGCTTCCGAAACACGGGTCGCCTTCATGGTTTTGTTGGTTGGGATGACGAAATCATCGCGGAACTTTCTGAGAGGGTCGTCGTCAGCAGCGAGCTTGAAGCTATTTGCTGTCTCGTGAGCCATTGCCGTGGACGGATACATTATCCGGAATATTGTGGACTCGCCAGCTGCGTCCGGTCACGTGCATCTCAATTGCGGTCCGATTTGGGCACGTGATGCGACGCGCCTGACAAGTGAGCTCTTGTTCTCCTCCCTCATGTCCCAAATATCCAGTTCTCAGCATGCATAAAATGCAACATTCGACGTCCAATTCACCATCATTATCATAACACACAAGGCTACTTTAGCACTCCTCCACTGGGCGGCCTGACGTTGAAAGTTTCCTTGTTAGAAGAAATTGAAAAGCAACGCCTTCCGACAAGAAGTTTGCGCAATCAGCCTCTATCTTCGCCAGGAAGATGGAGGAAGCTCGTAGGGCACTCGTGGAAGGACTCCGTCACGTCCCCCGGGTCCTCCTGAACGTTTTCTTCACCCGCGCCATGCCTCCGCTCCCGGATGTCTTCGGAGAATGGGACAGTGCGATGCGCGCCGTCATGAAGGAGCTTCAAACGGCGACAAGTATGTTCGGGCGTCCTTCCCCAAGCAGTCTGAAGACTCAGAGACCAACTCGGAACCGCTGGAGACGAATACCCTCTCCAGTATCGTCAAAGGGTTTCAGACTGTGCAGGCAAAATCAGTCATGCAGACTTCCCGGGTTCTGATGTTCTTCCACATACGATATGTGACTCACTCGTAGTGTAGCAGATGGCGACCACGGTGCCATTTCAGGCGCATCAGAAAAATTACAAGGTGTCTGTTTGGACAAGCTTTTGGTACTTGTGTCTTTTCGGCCGTACCTCGTCTTCTACACGCGGTCTTTTCTGTCCGAAACGACATGTTTCCAGTCGCTACTACAGAGCGCGCTAGCGGTCCTGTAATATAAAATAACGGATGTACACGAAGCTAGATTTTTTAGTGTGGAGGAAGTACCTGCATATTCATGTTATGTCTTATTCTATTCCCGTCGCAAAACTTTGTGGCGTAGGCCGCCCAGGGGACAGGCTGGTACAAAATTCGAGGGCCACTGATAGAGAAATTTCTAAATCTGGGAAGGAGAACATACCTTTGATTTGCAATTTGGAAGGCTTACAGGCCCCGCGGCCGCATAGTAATAGGAGTCACCGCCACATCGCCTACTAATGCGCCGAGACCACTCGCCGGAGTAGCATATTCTCTAATCTGACACGTTTGAGGCAGCATTATGCGGGCCATTGTTCTGCGCATGACTCGTAGTAAGTCCGCGACTGTCTAATCCTGGCATATGAACACTTCTCGGCGGTAGATATCGATGTGGCGACTAGTGGTCACGTTCAACTTGTTGAAGTTCGGATCTGTCACCGGGGAGATTTCGAAAGCCTCAGACAAAAGAAAGGTCCCAATACGGACACAAGTAACCTATTGTATTGGCTGTGTGTTTTCAGGACGGGGCAGTGTGATTGTACGATCTGGGGCATCCTCGAGGGAGGCATCAACAGCGCGCGGGCGCGCCTATCCTCAGTTGCCATTCATGGAGCGCGACGTTGAGACAACCAGGCCTAGCACTCTTTTTCCATTCCCACATATCTTGCAGAATTTGATTCGAGATACGTATAAAATGCAGCCTCCGAGGTCCGGCTCAACTCCATCGTCACAATGCGTGAGCCCAGTACCCCTCCGGGCAGCCACGCCCTTCCTCCAGATTAATCAACTCCTTCTAACAAGTTTAACTCTGCACAGTCGGCTTCGATATTTGCAGCGAAGACGGATGAAGCTCGCAGGGCTCTGATAGAAGCGCTTCATCACGTTCCCCAAGCTCATGTGAACCGCTTCCTGAGTCGTGTCTTGCCGCCACTCCCAGAAGTCTTCGGCGACCGGGACGCCGCAGTGCTCGCTGTTATGGAAGAGCTTCAGACTAAGGTCAACGATCGTGCTGCTCTTGTGCGGGACGGCGATGAGTACGTGTGGACCTCCTTTCCCGAGGAACCAGAGAAGTCCAATAGCCCCGAGCCCGTGGTGTTCGCGCAGTTAGAAGGTATCGTTCGTGATATCTCAGAAGCCGTTTCGCGCCTCTACCCGACGGATAATCCCGCGCAAAGCTTTGTCTATGTCAATAATCCCCACAGGACTCCTGTAAGCCATCACCGCGGGGAGTTCAACAAGTCTCGCCCGGATGGATACTTCGTCAATTGGTCCGGGCCCGATGCTCCGCGTGATCATGTGAGCTGGTGCGACATTGGCCCCCTGGGTGAATTCAAGAAGAAAGACTCGCAAGACAACGTGGATGACGTACGTGACATGACCGCTAAATTTCAAGCGTCGTCGACTCGCCGTGATTTGCACCGATACTAGGACGCTCATAAAGTCCTCTGGGGCTTGAACACCATCATGCGAGAGGATCCTCGGCGTCGTGCGGCCTATGGATTCACCATCGAGAATACGAGTACTCGCTTTTGGTATTGCGACCGTACCCAGATAATTGCCAGTCTGCAATTTGACTTCTTCAAGGTACCATGAAATTACGCTTACGCCGGTACACGAGACTGATAAATGCCTTAGGAGCCTGAATATCTCGTCACGTTCTTCCTAAAAATGATGTATACCGATGAGGCGTCCCTTGGATGGGATTCCACAATCGTTCGTGTTCCGCCCGGCGAGTGCAACCGGCAATTTGGATGCCACTGGCAGTACGACATCACCGTCCACAACCGCTTAGACAATGGCAACATCCAGAAGCTTGTTTATAGGACTGAGGAGCTCATCTCACAGATGGCGGCAGACGGTATATATGGGCGCGGAACACGGGTCTGGTCTGCTCGCCTCAAGACCGCTGACGGTAGCAAGTCGCCCCTCGTAGTCATCAAAGACTACTGGGTTGACATTGACCGCCAGCGAGAAGGAGCCATCTCCCGGGACATCCAAGTCGCTGCCACGAGGGATCCCGATGAGCTCAAGTTCTTACAGAAGCACCTTCCTACCGTTTACGCTCACGGAGACGTCCTTATCGCTCATTCGTCTGACGAAACACCTTCGCTGGACGATATCATCATTAGACACAAGGGGATTACGGCATCCATCGACTTGATCTCCGGGCTCGCTCGATCTCGCGAACCAACACCTGACACTCCAAGTTCGCACTTGAGTCAGTCGTCTTTCGTTGATCGTTTTCCTCGAAGGATTGTCCAACTAGATCCCAAGGCCCATTACCGTATCGTGTTCGAGGAATTCGGCCGTCCTCTGCACGATGAGAAGTCTCTCGCTGTCGCGTTTCGTGCCATCCACGACGTGTTGCTGTGTAAGCTCATGTCTTCATGAGATAATGTGATTTGTATTGATGCGGTTACATAGGTCTAATCATCATCAACAGTTTGGGCTGGGTCCATCGTGATATCAGCAGTGGCAATATTCTGGTGTTCGAGGAGCGTGGGTTGCTAACCGTACGCTAAACGCTGGGATGTGCAGGAGCAGAAAGTTCATAAGACGCGCACGATATGTTTGATTGGTAGCGTTGCCTGAGTTAGATGTTGACACAGCTACAGGGCACCCAGTATTTCATGTCGGTGGAGGCTGATGCTCATCGGTATCTTTTCCAAGGTGCACCAGAATCACAAACTGCTCCTTCCAGTAGAGGAAGCGAAGCGGGCGGCTCGCTTTTCAAACTCGCCAAGTCCGTCTCGTTGAAATCTCCCACGATCCCGAACAAGCCCGCGATTCCTTTCCGTTACCACCCCTTGAACGATTGGGAATCGCTTTACTGGGTGTCCGTGTACATGGTCGTCGGCAGGATCGTACAGGCAAGTGGAAGTCGTTCTCAACAGCCGTTCGACAAACTCGAGAAGCAACGTGAGCTTGCACGGATTCTCTTCTACAACCCTACGGAACGCCTATGGATGTTCTTGGAGGTGCAGAAGACGGGTATCATCGAAGCGAAACTCTTGGATTGTCTTCACGGCGACCTGGTCCCCATCGCGGAGGAACTGTCGGATATCAGATTCTTGTTGCGCAGTGCTTACCGGAAGGTTGAAGCAGATCCCGATCAGCATCCTGACGGGGGAAAATCCCTTGCCATCGTCGCGGCAACAATCCCTCATAAATACCACAACATTTGCGAGTACTTGAAGACCGAGGATAAGCGTGACCTTACTGTCGCGCACTTCCCGCCTCGAGGAGATCTAGAAGCTATCTAGACCCTCCTCTGTTGTGTTTCCGCATATACTTAATGCGAAATGTATATCTCCTGTCTCTTGTGATCGTGAATTATTTGTGCAGACGCTCTATCACGTTGGGGAAAGGCCATGGCTTGCCACACAGTTATGAAGATTTGTGGCACTATAGGCCTGCATATAGCTTTATTTTTACGGGCCATTACGAGCAAGCGAAAAAAAAGAAAGGAAGAAAGCTGGTCTCTGTCCCGCAGGCCATTGCCGTGCATGGTCAACAGGCACACTGTTCAGAGACTCGATCATCCGATCCACGATCACCGATGTACGCAGACACAATAAGGAGCACCTCGATTCCATCGTCACATTGTGTAGATGGGGACAACAACGATGGAACTGTAACAATATGTACACATATGCTCAGAAACCAAATATGTCGTCGATCTCATCTTTTTTCTTCCGCTTCTTCTTGCCTCGACTGTCTTGTATTTCTGTCGCCGATCGTTTGCGGGTCGAGCCATCCAGAGCTTCTTTTGTTCTCGATACATGCACCGTTTCACGCACTGCGCCGCGCCTCAGGCCTCAGGGCCTGTTCCATACAGAGTACGATGTCACTCACCGATTGCATTGGGAGTGAAAGACATCTTTGGCTGGGTGAACATGAAGTTCATATCCTCGGTTACGGTTACCGTCTCGTCTTCTGTGACATTTTGGCCGCGGGATTTAGTGACAGAAACAGAGCTGATGACTGTGGCGCCAGTCAAGGCACTCTCAATCTCATTTTGACGGGCAATTACCGCGTCGCCCGCGTCTTCCCCTGTGTCTTGCTTCGCCTGAGAGATGCTTCTTGATGACGGGCCGACACGTCTAGGGTCTAGATTTTTGTATCGGCCACTTAGGAACTTGGGAGCCGGTATCAAAGGTTCGGACTGCACACACCGGTTAATCACTCGTGTGATCTAGTAAGAGGCAGATATTGCTCACCGCCAAGGTTTCCAGTAGACGGTAGCATGCTACCCATGCCTGTGCAATCACAGGACCTATCTCGTTAAGTAGAATAGCCATCCGAGAGGTTATGGCTGTCAATGTCAAAATAAGTTGTAGGAACGCCCCCGTCTGGAGGTTGAGATTTAAGTGGCTGCATGCCTTTTCAATACTTTGCTAGGGGACATGCGTAGAGAACGTACTTGTGTGCCTTTGTCAAATGCTCTTCCATCTGAAGAGGGCGTCAGCGGAAGGCTGCTGGGTGCAGCGCAACTAACTGACGCTGTCAACTAGCAAAAGGCAGTCCCTCAGCCTTGCGAGAACATGTCGAACAGATTTCGCGTCAGGCGCGTGTGTCCACGCAGCTTTCAACGCTTTCGCACTGCATCCATATTTAAATCCCTTTCACTCATGTGATACGCCAGACTCACTTGTGCCGTGAAGAATCTCCCCAGAACGCGAAACGAAGCGTTCCTAGGTGTTCGTGGATCTTGATTGATTCTAGTCTCTTGCCAAACCTCCTGACATCGGACACTCGCCGCCAGAATAACGCAGAACGATGCTGATTATTGCCCTTGTAATATAGCTTCTCCAGAATCTGCAACTCGACTTGGTGAGATGCGAATGCCGCCTGGAGCCGTCGTGTGCAGGACTTGAGGTCCTTCAGTATTTTGTCTATACCTGCTTGCCGCGTCGCGTCCAGAGTAGTCTTTGGGGAGCAGACCGGCTCTGGCAAGGGAACATGTCGAGGGGCCGCCATGAGTGAAATGAGAGAAGGCGAAAGACGCCGGCGGGTATAGGCGCGATCAGAGCAGCCGGGGACGTTGCTCAGCTCTGGCCATCACCTCCACCCAGTCCCACATCCCGCACACACTCGCAGGCCCTTTGTGCAGCCACCATGGCCTCCCAGGCCGGGCAGGACGCCAAGTTCTTCCAGCGCGGCAAGATACAGGTGCGCACATCCTCCGCGCCATAACTGCGTACACAACTGGACGTGTTCTCTGTAGGAATTCCGCGCAGAGCTGCAGGCAGCCGAGTCCAAGGACAAGAAGTTCCAGAAGCGCAAGACTGTGCTCAAGAAGATTGTGGCGAACATTACCATGGGGAACGACAGTCCGTGCGCTTTCGTCACCATTCGTAGTGCTCGAGGAGTGACCCATCCCCTGTGCGTGTAACAGTGTCTCCGCTGTTCACCGATGTCGTCCAGTGCTTGGGCATTCCATTGCTTGAGATTAAGAAGAGTGAGTGCGCACCTGTCTGCTACAGAGACTGCCCTGACCGTTGTGCCCCGCAGTGGTATACCTGTTCCTCGTTTGTTACGGAAGAGCGAAGGCCGAGCAAATACACCTTGTGATACCCAGTTTTCTGCAGGTGTGCAACCCGTGGCGTTCAGCATACCACGCCGCCTCTCATGCTGAATGTGACCTAGGACTGCAGTGACAGGAACCCTCTCGTGCGAGCTCTCGCCGTTCGCACCATGTCATACATCCCCATCCCCGTAGTCATCGACGCGCTCACCGACCCGCTGCGGCACTGCATCAAGGACCGCGACCCATACGTCCGTAAGACCGCCGCCATCTGCGTTGCGAAGCTCTACGCCGCAGACCCACGGAAGGCAGAGAAGCACGGCTTCGTTGAGATGCTCCGGGACCTCCTGCTGGATGCAAACGCCACCGTCGTGTCGAACGCCGTAGCTGCTCTGTCCGAGATCGGGGACAGACCAGATGGCGTTATCTTCAAGCTGAACTTGAGTGTGGCGAACAGATTACTCGCCGCCCTTAACGAGAGTTCGGAGTACGTCTGTTTGTGCCTTGCGGCATATTGCGTTACTCATGCTCGCTTAGGTGGGGCCAGATTTACATCTTGGACTCATTACTTCGCTACGTGCCCGAACGGCACTCAGACGCAGAGGTCATGGCCGAGCGTGTTGTGGTGCAACTCGGCCACGGGAACTCTGCGGTTCTCCTGACTGCGATCAAAGTCTTACTTTACCTTATGAACTATATGGAGAATCGACGGCTCATTGACTATATCTGTAAGAAGATGGGGCCACCATTAGGTTAGTCGTACTGTTGGCTCTCTGCTGCTCGTGTAGATAGCTAACACAATCCAGTAACCATATTGTCCTCGGGTCCCGAGGTTCAGTATGTTGCCCTGCGGAACATTCTGCTGATCATCCAACGGCGGCCGACAGTCTTGAAGAACGACGTCAAGGTGTTTTTCTGCAAGTACAATGACCCTATCTACGTCAAGCTTGCAAAGCTTGAGATTATGTACCGACTTGCGCGTGAGGAGAATGCAAGAGAAGTGCTTGCGGAGTTACAGGAGTAAGTCGGTTTAGGATATCCATAATTTCGCTGTACTCAAGGCGTACCCTCCAGGTATGCCTCGGAAGTTGACGTCGACTTCGTCCGCAAAGCTGTGCGCTCAATAGGCCGGCTTGCCATCAAGGTCGAGCAGGCGGCAGACTCGTGTATCAAAGCGCTGCTCGAGCTCATCGAGACTAAAATCACGTATGTCGTGCAGGAGGCGATCATCGTTACTAAGGACGTCTTCCGGCGGTATCCTGGCAAGTACGAAGGCATCATTCCGACGTTGTGCCAACAACTCGACGCGCTTGAGGAGCCCGAGTCCAAGGCGGCCATGATTTGGATTGTCGGGCAGTACGCCGATCGCATTGAGAACGCAGATGAACTCATGGACGACTTGACTTATACATTTATGGAAGAAGCAGTCGAGGTTTGCAACCTTTCGAGTGTTTCGCGACATTTTTTGCTAATTGTCTGCTCAGGTGCAACTCGCACTGCTCACAGCGGTGGTCAAGCTCTTCATCCACAAATCCCAGTCAGAAACGAGCAAGGCGATCGTGCACAAGGTCCTCAAGTGGGCGACAGAAGAGGCCGACAACCCAGATCTGCGCGACCGTGGGTTCATGTACTGGCGCATGCTCGCGATCAACCCAGCCGTCGCGGGCGAGATCGTCTTGGCGGAGAAGCCTGCGATCACGACGGACTCGGATCGCATGGACCGCGGCGCACTCGACCAACTCCTGCTGCACACAGGGACGCTCGGCAGCATATACCACAAGAACCCCGAGGTATGTATCCATCTATTTTTGCTTCACTAGGCTCTCGTGTGCTCAAAACGATCTGGCAGACCTTCATCCGCGGCGCGGCCGGCAGGGCGCTGGTGGACAGTCCTGCGCTCAACGCGCTGTCGCGGCAAGTCCTCGTCCCCATCGCGCGCCCTATGCTGCCGACCGCGGTTCGTGTCCGTGGACCAGGGCCGCAGGAACCCTCGCGCGACGGCGCCGTCCCCGGCTCCCAGTCTGCCGCGAAGCCTACGTCACCAATGTCGCCCGGCGAGGACGCGGGCCTCATCGAAAGGGCCGCATCGGGTGAGCACCAGGACGACGGCGACGGCGATGGCGAGGGTGCGGGCGAAGGTGATGGCGAAGGCGAAGAGGACTCGATCACCGCGCACCGCGCAGCAGGGTCGGACCCGTATGCGAATTTAGACAGTGTTTTCGGGGGGTACAACGCGGACCAGCCCGCGCCGCAAACAGACGATTTGCTGTTCTAACATATACGCCTTGGATTCCCTCTCTCTCTCTCTTTCAGATGTGTTGCTACCAATACATTTCCGATTATGATATATCACAATAATCCAAAGGAAAAAAATGCCCAGTCTCTAATTAGTGACGTGCGGGATTAGTATAAGCGTGATTGGGTGGTATGTTGTGCTGCGTGTGTTATGGGGGAGTAGGACCGAACATCGACTTGATGCCATTTGTAAGCGACGCGCGTTTCGACGGTCTGAGTGAGTTGTAGTGCTGCGGCAAAAGGCGTCAGCGTAACATCCAAAGCTTCAAGGCACGCGCAAAGGCCATGGACGTACCTCTCCGAGGCCGTACATCCGCCGATGGTAGCTGATCCGCACGACAGGGCTGTCGTCGGGCGGGGGTGTGTCGGACGGGTTGTGGACAACGATGTAGGGCGCCTGGCTCTGGATGACATGGATCGGCACGTTGTACGCCTTGGCAAGGGCCAGGATCTCGGGCTCGCCGCCCCAGACGGAGGTGTCGCGCATCTTGGTGCAGTACGCCTCGAACTCCTTCGGCGACATCAGCGAGCTCTCCGTCGAGCCCCCGCTGTCGTCGCCCTCGAGCGAGGGCAGGAACGGGATGAAGTCGTCCGGGTGCGCCTGGATGTAGTCTGCCGCGGCGCGCCGCGTCGTGGCGTAGTTTGCCAGGCTGCTCGGGATGACGCCCAGGATGGAGAGCTGGTCGGCGATCGCGGAGAAGAGACAGTGGCCGTCTGGATTTATCTGCGAACCCACAGGTTAATAATTGTGTTCGCCCGACCCAGGGTGGGCGCTGCGTACCTCGAACATCTTGAGGCCATGCTCGTCGCACGTCTTATTAATTATACGCTCCTCCTCTCTGGCCTCTGCCTCAAACCTTGTGTCCGAGTCCGAGGGTGGACCTGCCAGCTGCTCCGCACGCTGAGCCGCCTTCCTTGCCTGCACCCAGTCTCATCTCGTCAAATTTCGAGAACGATTGCGAGATAATGAGTGGTGCGAACCTGGCGTGCCTCGTGCCGCGATTTACTTCGGTGGGGGGTAGATGCAGCCTTCCCCGTTTTCTCGTCTGCCACCTCCCTGAGTACTGCGGCGGTCTCATGCTTGGAGGCCTGGTCCTTCTCGTCGAGCTGCGCAAGCAGATCGTCCATGAGCCCATCGTCGTCGTGTGGGGGCTCTAACGGGGGCGGGGGCGTGGTGTGCGAGGGGCTGAGGGCCTTCTTGATCTTGTTCCGCTTCGAGCCAGCCATGGGTTTGTCGAGTCGGGCGTGCGCAGTGGGGGAGGTCTGCGCGGCGTGAGGAGGGTGCAAGGCGGTTCTGAGCGCGGACAAAGCAAAAAGTAGCGCCTTCCTCGAGCCTGGCGCGCAGGCGTCAGGATCCGATCGCCGAATGTGAAAGGCCATCCCGCCCATTTTCCTTGTTTGGGCAGTCGTCGGCTCGGGAAGCGTCTCCGGCAGGGCCCCGGGTTCCTTTCTGTGCGTGTGCCCCTGGCTGCGGGAAAATCAGGAAAATCGCAGAGTCGAAAGCGAGGTGCGGGCCTTGGGGGGTGTTCGCAGGGGAGGGTCTGCACCGGTGTCTGTCAGCGAAGTGAATAATATATGTACAGTGGCACTCGAGGCCGCCGATTTGGCCCGCGTCCGACATGAGAAATCGGTCGTACGTGGCGAGGGTGTGGCGTTCATACGTGTATCAGCGTAGCAGGCCCAGCTGGCAGCACTAGTACTACGTAGTCAGCTGAATTTTATGCTGATCCTGCCGGGTCACCGACAGGAGGTTCGCTGCTGCGGGCGTCATGATGATGATGAGCACTGCTCGTCCTCGCCCTCGCCCTCGTCCTCATCCTCGTGTTTCTGCTGTGCGCTCGCTCAACGCTGCTGCTCCCAGATCCCGCTTGAGCCTTGCCTTTGTCTCCCAGAGTCAGTCCCGGAAGAAAGAACACGCCCCCAGCGCCGGACTCGCTCAATCCGTGGTCTCAACAAGGTTCCATCAGCCAAATCAACCTTACAGCTTGCACAAAAAGCGTGTGCGTCCGTCGGCCCCAGGTTTCGGCTGGCGAGACGCCATTCCTAACCACGACCGTTGGCGCTGCCTGCTCGTTTTCGCCCCCACGCCCCCCGCCGCGACGATGAACGGGACGACGAGCAACGCCTTCCGCGCATCCTCCAAGCTCGGCGACCTCTTCGCGAGCCTGCCCGTCAACGACCATGCGCAGCAGTGGATCGAGATCGAGCTCACCGCCCAGTCGCTCGCGAACGACCTGCGAGTGCACGATGGTGCGTGCGCCGGCGCATTTCTCCGCCCTTGCCCTCCCCCCGATGCGCCTCTGATCCCGCCTCGCTGCTTCTAGTCGACCAGCAGACCGCGCTGGGCAAGACGCTGCTGCCCCAGACGCTGACCTCGCTCCTGAAGAGCGCGACCGACGGCGCCGCGCTGCCCAAGCTCCCGCAGAAGCCCGCGATCTTTGAGCTCCTGCGCGTCGGAGCAAATTTGTGCATGGACCATGGTGCGTCCGGCTGACAAGAGTCTTTCTTGTCACACACACAGACCAGGCCAAGGCTGATCGTGTTACAGACGAGAATAGGAGCTATCTACTCGAGGCCGGCTTTCCCCAAACCGTGCTCGCTCTGCTGGAAGGCTACGCAGAGAGCGTGAAGCCAAGCCTGGCTGGCATCGATCCCCTCCCTCTGTCTATCGCGGACCTCAAGATCGTGAAAACGGCCATTGGAGTATTGCTCAATGCCAGCTTTGGTTATGGTGCGCACCGTCGTCGTCTCGCCGCGGCGGCTATCTCTGACCTCTCTCGCCAGAACCCGTGAAGACAAGACTTGTATCGCTCGAAGCGGCACTCACCGTCCTCAAACTGTCCGTCGCGCTGTACCCTGCGGGTGCATGGCTGCGTGCGAAGCCGACCACAGACGAAGAAGGAACAGAAGGGGAAAAGGTGCTCGAGGAGGCCTGGAGCATTCGCAACGGGCTGTCTCAGTGGACGTGGCGCGCGATCTCGGAGCTGCGCGAGGAGCAGGGCGAAGAAACCAGTGAGCACACGCACCCATCTCCCGGACGCGGAGTAGGCCCGCTGACCCGCCGTTGTGCCACAGAAGACCGCCTCGTGTTCTCCCCAGACGTCCTCCCGTTCCTCGTGCCGAGCCTGCAGGCCTTCGTCCCGCCGTACGCCGCGGTCCCGCCCGCGTTCGCACCGGCGCTCGCGCGCACGCTCGTCTCCGTCGACTACCTGAACCTCGAGGAGTCGTGCGGGCTGCTCGAGTCGCTGTGCATGGACGTCGAGGACGTGCGGCTCGCGCTCGCGCGCGGGCTCACGTTCCCCGCGGAGCACGACGGCGTGCCGGTGCTCGCGGAGATGCTCCGCTTCGTCGACGCGGGCGACTACCCGCCGCACTGGGGCGGCGCCGACGCCGACGCGCTCGCCGCGCGCCGCAAGGGCTTCGACCGCTGCAAGGCGGCGGTCATCAAGGCCGTCGTCGAGGTCGCCGGCGAGGAGAAGAACACGGACGTCCTCTGGGACGACTCGGACCCCGCGACGCCGGGCGGGCCGTTCGTCGACCAGATGGTGCGCTGGGTGCGCGCACACGCGGGCGGCGCAGATAAGAGCAAGGACAGAGACGACCTCGTCATTTGCGCCACGCTCAGTCTCGGGAACGTCGTGCGGAAAGGTATGCGATTTTTATACGTGCGCGCACGGGAAGCCTCACTAACGCCACTCTGTAGATGCACACTCTGCGGCCGTGGTGGACCCGCCCATGGCTCTGGCACCTGACCTCGCCTCGCTGTTGGTTCCGGAGGCCGACATCCAAGTCAAGCACGGCGTGGTCGGCCTATTGAAGAACCTATCTCAGGTGAAGGAGAACCGGTCTATTCTTGGCAAGGCTGGCATCATCCAAAAGCTCGCGGCTAGCGGTCTGCTGAGCGATAAGGCTGACATGCTCGAGATGGCTCAGGTTTACACGATCGGGATTGCGAAACACATGTGCAACGGCGAGGGTACGTCATGCCTTCCTTTGACATGTCGCGGGGAACGTTCTCACACTTTGTATGCTGCAGCGGACAACACGCTTGCGCTTCTCCTCCCGGACTCGGCACGAGCTGAGGAACCTTCGCTGTACGACCAGATCCTGGCCCTCGTCCGCCGCTCAGACACAGTCGCGGTCAAGAGCGAGGGCACGCGTGTGTTTGTCAACGCGACCAAGACGCTGTGGTCGGCGGACGGGTCGAGTAAGGAGGCGGGCTGGGCACAGCGGCGCAAGGCAGCGATGGAGAAGCTGGTGACGCCACCGTGCGCGGCAGCTCTTGCCCAGCTGATCGGCCGGAGCAAGAAGTACGCTATCCTCATCAACGAAGGCGTCGTGGCGCTGTCTTTGCTGAGCACACACTCGAATGGGGGTACGTGTGTCCCATCTCTCCGGGTTCGAGCCGCACGCTGACCTCATCGTGCCGTCGGGGAACGGGTTTTGTTTTGACAGGCCTCGTTGTGCTCGACGCGATCATGAACCCTCTCCCCGTCGAGACGCCGCGCGGTGGGGCGTTCACGGTGCCCGTGTCTGCGGGACCTGCCACTGACTCGCCCGTGGCCGGCACGCCGCGGCGGGCGCTGGACATGCTCGTGTCGTGCCTGCGGAATGCGGACGGGCGGGTTCCTGCAGAAGTGCGGGCCAACATCTGTGCGCTGGTGGGGCACCTCGGGCGGCCCGGCGTCGTGCCTGAGAGCCGAGGTCATGACCTGCGGGTGATGCAAGAGGAGCTGAGGGAGCTGCTCGAAGCGGCAACCAAGGACGCAAACCCCGTGGGAACGGCTGCGAAGAGGGCACTGGAGACGTGGGGAAAGTGATCTCTTTACACGAAAGTTAGAAAGAAGATACAAGCTGCTGGACTCTGCCGCGTAGGACTGTTTAATGCTCTTGGTGAGGAGGTTGGATACCCAGTCGAAAAATTGTATGCCATTTTGTCTTGCTGGTGCCATCGGGGGAGGGTCGATGAACGGAGACGGTGAGTGGCCCCCATCGGGGGATCGGCAGTCTCACAGCTCTGGTCAGACTTGGAGCGAATGCTCGAGACCGCTCCATGGGTGCCGGAGCAGACTTGCGCCGGCCAATGGGAGCGGGTCACCTGACCACCGGCAAGGGCACGGGATCTAAACGCGTCCTTCTGGTTGCGCGTCGTGTCCGAGTTGTGGAGCTTGCCGGGTTTGGCAGGTGTGTGGGAAGGGGGAGCATCAAAAGACACTCCATCGAATGTACACCGAACACCGCCTCCCGTGCTTTCTAGAGCCCGCCTTGACGCTCCGATGAGCTCATAGCAGCCCTCCTCGAGGCCTATATAGCCTGCTTCTGCTGCAATGAGTACTTCATCAAGCTCACATCCTCCAGCTCCCGCTCCTTCCTCTCTTCCTCTTCCTCTTCACGACCTTTCAGCGTCATGGCTGGTTCCTCCCTCGACCAGAACCCTCCCAATGCTGATCGCCACATCACCGCAGGCGGCAGTGACTGGTTGTGGGCCGTCTTTGCCATAATGGCGCTTGCCGACCTGGGCATGATTGCTCATGCCTTCACCGTCAGTACAACATTTCCGATCATCCACAGCCCTGGACCCTGTGCTGACAATTGTCTAATAGCGCCCTCGCGGCACCCGTTTCTTCCACAACATTGCTACTGTCATCCTGACGACTTCGACGATCGCCTACTTCGCCATGGCATCTGACCTTGGTGCGACACCCGTCCTCGAAGAGTTTACTCGTGGTGTTCCTGGATCGACACGTCAGATTTGGGTAAGCTCTTTAGACAAACCGTAATTGCTCGCGGGCAGCAAGCTTATTGTCACTCCGCAGTTTGTCCGCTACATTCAGTGGTTCATCAACTTCCCGCTGCTTCTCGTTCTCGTCCTCTTCACCTCGGGCCTATCCCTCTCCGACATCCTCACCACCGCCTTCATGGCCTGGGTCGTCGTCGTCTGCGGCCTCGTCGGTGCTCTCGTCGTCAGCACCTATAAGTGGGGCTTCTTCGTCCTTGGCGTCTGCGCCCTGTTCTACATCTGGTGTGTACCCTGTTCTTGATGCTTCACCAGCGAATTGTGTGCTGACCCTTCTCTTCCACAGGGCCATCCTCCTCGGCCACGGCACGCGTTCGAACTTCGCTGCGGGCCCAGGCGTCCGCACTGGCTACATCCGCGGCGCAGGCCTCATTGCATTCATCACCATGCTTTACCCGATCGCGTGGGGCTGCTCCGAGGGCGGCAACGTCATCTCCCCGACGGGCGAGATGATCTGGTACGGCATCCTCGACCTCATCCTCGGCCCCATCTTCCTCCACTACTTCATCTGGGGCCTCCGCAAAGTCGACTACGGCCTCTTTGGCCTCCACTCGGGCAAGTACACCGACGGTCCATACGGCACAACGGGCGCAGGCTACGGTGCCGGTGCCGGTGCCGGTCGGGGTGCTGCTGCCCCCGCGGCAGCTGCTGGCCCGAACATGACCACCGCGAACCGCGTATAAAAGCGGTGTGGCTGTTGTTTTCGATATGCCCTTTCATGACCCGTTTGATGATCCTAAGATAGATGCCTGCAGATTCTAATTTGTAACTGTAATGCTTTTTTGAAACCCCCCATTCACGATTCCTTCGCCACAGTTTCTGAATGTATACAAGTATTACCGTAGTACCAGCAATAGTTCTCAGTACTAAGTGCACGTGTGAGACCTGTGAGGAGCATACGACGTGTTGACAGCAACCCTCAGAATTCAAATCGGTAAACTTGAACTGCTTCCTCGTGTCTTCTCTGAGCCCCTCAGGCAGAGTGGAAGAAAATACCGGCTGGTATAACTTACTAGTGTCAGTGAATAATGGACGTAAGGCTGTAAGTAAAGAGTATAAGCCTCATTCCTTACATAAGCGTTCAGAATATAAAATACAGTAAGTAAATGTAAGTAAAGCCAGTAAGCTACGAGGTAAGCTGTCAGTTATCGTTCGGCAACTGCGACACCGCTGTCAGCGACGGGCTTGTCGCATTACCATGCTTTCATGCTAATACTGGCACCATCCCCCTAGTTATAAATTCTCTACTTCCTGTAAAGATATTGAACGTCAGTGTAGATAGATGGCAGTTCCACAGGGACAATTTCAGTGACCACTCATGTGTCTATGAGGGATAATGCTGCATCAGGAAAACAACTTAGGTCCACAATGCTACAGAGTGCTACAGGAGCATTTTGGAGCACTATGGGCCCAAGTCCTGTTTCCTGATGTGGGCAAGATAATGAATGGAACTAAGAGAACATGCTTCGGATGGCAGGATACTACGCCAGACTAGGATCCAAAGCTACATCGCGGTGTATGGCAGTGATGGTGCGGGATCTTATTATGCGGCTTATGAATGGGCTCAATTTGTGAATAACTTGGTAATATATGCTTTCTTCTCATGCTAGGAGTCGGCGCTTCGCACGACTCGCGGGTCCTGTCGGACTCTAAATTGAGCCCCAAGGTGTACCCGCTTTGAGCTCGGTGGACTTCAAATATCGACATGTCCCTTTACCTGGCTCCGTAAATTTGGTAGGGCTCAGCTCTGCTTCATGCCTAAACGCGGCCCGTCTTAGGAGTTCACCTGCGAGGTATGCATGATTACCGACGGTTTATGAGACTGCTGATGCTGAGGGAATTACGCAGCACGCTTGCCAAATGTTTCCCCACACCCTCACCCTTCAGGGGCTTCCTGGAGACGTGTTATTCTCGTGCTTTTGCTACCTCACCGTAAAGGATATCCTCAGCCTTCGTCGCGTGCGTGTCATAACGAGCCTAACTCAGAGTATGTTCGGCAGATCTCGAGCTCTCTTTTCCGCAGGTGTCCAAGGCTTTTCAACGACTGTCTTGTTCGAAACAGCTTTGGTTGATCATACTGGAACGCGATGTCGTCTCCGACGGCCCCATTATTCCGCATTACTGTCGCCCACTTGAACTGCTTTCAGACATCCAAACCGAGGCTCTCGTTCTTCACATCCTCCGACTCTGCCAAGCGCTACTCCTAGGCACACAGCGCCGTCCTCCGACCATGGTCTCATTCCCTCAAACGCGCTCAGTGACTTGGGTCAAGCTGGTCCAGGGCAAGTGGATCCTTGCTGCATGTTCAGATCAGACCACAAGCGCCATCTGCCTCTGGTCGCTCCAGTCGTTTTATCGCTCCGAGGGACCTCCTGATATTGTGGCCCAAGCTTTCCTCAAAGGACCTGTGGTGTATGGGCTGGTCGAGGTGCAGGATGATCAAGTGATAATTGCTCTAGAGCTTCGAGCTGCATTGTGAGATCGTGCACTACCTAAATGCTGTCTTGGTCTGATGCTCCTTCTGTTAGTCAAACTATCGTCGAGATTGTATCTCTACGTACCTCGAGCGAAGGACGGCCGACCTTCGTCCGCCTTAGAAGGTTCATAGACGATATATCGCACATACGATGTTTACGTGGGCCGTTCATCGGCTTCGCTCTTCATCGTGAACGGAGTATACCGAGTGTCCTTGACTGGTGCACCGGTGAAGTAGCGAACCTCTGCAGGACCCCTAGCAGCGACGTGAGTACATTTATGGTCCTGATCAGCAAGGGTCTCATGCGCCGCAGGGTGGTGCCGTGGCGATGGCCATTGATGATGATGGTGTAGTCGCCGTTGTCACTCCCCGAAACCTTGAGCTGTATAAATTGCACAAGCTCCCTGAAAGCTCTGTGACATGCGAATGGCTTTGCTCCATTTTGCTTGGCCGTTCGGTCGGCTGGGCACAAGCAATGTTCACCCTGTCAACTTCGTCCAAACGGTCAAGACTCCGTGTATGCATCGGTGGTAAGAACGGCCTGTTTGCATATATTGATACCACAGATAATCTTCGCTCGACTACGGAGGGGACTGTTCTGACTCCTGTGTGGGGTCGGGAGGTGGTCCGGGCCAGCGTTGATTGGAAGCGGTACAAAGAACAAGACTCCTTCGCATACAGCCCCATTCTCTCCACTCACGGACGGTCGCTCGCTTGGCTTGTCGTGGCCGCTCAATCCAGGAGACCAGTTGGATTCGGTACTCTAGCAGAGGGCCTGCCGGCCGGGAGATCTCATGCATCGACCGAGTATCGCGATGCTTGATCATCCCGACTTACCCGGGATGTTTGCCGCCGGTGTGTACGACTATAACGAGGCTCTTGGCGTCACGGTATTCGGCAACGCATGTGGTGAGCTTGCAGTGTTCAACTTGAGCGCCTTGCGTATTGCTCCGCTCGAGGAGTGTTTCGAGGCCCTTCCCATACCTGACGGCGATGGAAGGCACGGATTCGAGGTCATGTCTGAAGTGAGTAGCTATTCTTCTTAATGTCATACTTTTCTTTAACACAGACAGACGACGATTCCTGCCACATTTGGGCTTCCATTCCCATACCTGGGACCCTTGGTTCCACCTCGGGAGTACGCTGAGCTCCTCTTTGCGCAATGGAGGGCAAGACATCCCGATTCAATACCACGAGGATGGGAAAGAGACGCAGATGACGGCACTTCGCGAGCCTTCCCGCTCGACTGGACGAACCTGACCCCTAGGATCCCTCGCGATATCCATGATATCGGTTGGTCTATCGCACACGCTCACCACTGCATAGGGCCACTTGTGCCGCTGATGAAGATTTATCGATATTCTCTGTACACCGCGGGCGATCTTCTGCTGCTGTATGACTTTGAGATGCAACAGTTGTGGATAGTCCCACCAGACTTGACGCTCGAGCAGTTTTTGGCGACGTGTCGAGCGAAGGGTATCTCTCGCGTGCCGATGATTCTTCGCAACTGCGACTACGCTGTGGTCGCCTGGGGCAAAGACTCACGCCGAATGTGGGCATGGGAGGGTAAGAGACTCGGCCGGAATCGGTGGCAGGAGCTGCAGGATCGGGGTGGAGACGTGCACCGCGACTGGCTCGTTCCCTCCTAACTCCACTTAGGCCCTCAGTGGGGACGATGTGAAGGACTTCGATCTGCCAGACTTAGATACTGAAGACATTGAGGAGATGACAAATGGGCAGGAAATATAATTAGCTCGTCGATGTACCTGAGCCGAAAGCGCTAGTAGAGGGTTGGTGGATGTCCGTGACAAATTGGGTCCAAACTTAACGAACCCTCGAGCTTACGCCAACATCCGGACAATGCGTTTCTAACCGCCGAGGAGGTCGGCCCATTAACTGGACAATAGTTGATACGTCGATGAGGAGCTCGCAGGTAAGCTGGTTCCGGACAACCGCCGACGCTGACCTGCTCGCCGCTCGGATCTTGCCAGTCGAAAACCTCCTCGACATCGGGACACCGTTCCCCACTACCATAGGTGTGAGTACTCCGAACACAGCACCGCAAAACTTTACAGCTTCCGAGTCGAACCCGTGGCTGTTCAGGCTTGCGAGCGTGCGTATCATTGGATACCGATGTCGTGGCAATCGCGCGACCGCGCGGCATGATGCTAGCTCACCTACCCCCAGGCTGTTTGCAAGAAAAGCGGTGCCCTCACCATCGAGGCTGCTGACTGGCCAGATTCTGTCCTTGTGCCCAGGACTGCATCGGCGAGATGAAGCTGTCACGAAAATATGTAAATTGTTCATATGCTACCATTTACCGCGTATCAGCCGAGTGGCTGTCCTGTGTGACTTACTGTGCCTATATCAGTAGTCCGTAGCAACGTTGTCCGGCTCTTGGACCACCTGGACATTCGAGCCGCTGCAATGTTCGGCGTTCAGACAACTTAGGCAAATCAGCGGGAGGCAGGTGCGCCCGAACAGATTGCTGTCAATTATGTCCGGACATGAAATTCTTCCAATGCGTTCTGCCTGGCATCTACCGGTGCTTTCGGAGGTTCTTGTACATCTCGAAGCCAGCGGACCATGCTTCCAAAGGCGCAGCACTGTCAAAGCAGACATAGTCGGGCAGGGTGTCACGACAAGTAGCAATTCATTATACAATAATGACTACCGAACATGTCATGCACAGGGAAGAGGTCGTCAGCGTCATGAGTGGTGTGAATATGCTACAACGAAAAGCATTACGAGGAGAATGTAAGCATGTGGGAGACGCGGGACCAGATGACGAGATGGGGGGTAAGATCGGGACTAATGCCAATGCGAGGGAGAAGACATACTATGCGAGTGAGTATTGTTCAATCAACGAATCATCTACGTGTACGATATGCTTGTTTGTGCGTTGCTGAATTGTTAGAGATAAGTAACGTATCGTGCGAAAGATTAGAACGAAATAATGAGAGGATGGGAATATCCACCCTAGTGGGCCCTCCAGCGCCTCGCCGATGGGATAGGCACCGGCCTCAGGCAGTCAACGAACTGGGGTGTGAGCGGAACGCCGTAGCTGCAGAGCGCAAGCTCGCCAAGCGCGTTGCCGATTGCAATGATGCCCACGCCGTCGTCGAAGTCCATGACGGGCATCGCGTTCAGCGACGGCAGGCGGGAGTCCTTGCACTCCATGAGCACCTCGAGCTTGCTCTCCTGCGCGGCTGGGGTAGCCTCGCGTGCGGTGTCCCTGCCCGCGTCCGCACTGTCCGCGGAGGGCGCGGCCGGCGTAGCGACGACGCGCGCGACAAAGACGTGTGACTGCCGGTCAAAGAACGACTTGGGCGTGTTCGTCCATGCGACGTGCGACGCGGAGCCGCCGAAGCGCGGAAGTTGCGGCGAGCTCGTGAGAATCGTGCTCTGCTTCACTGCCTCCTCGGCAACGAGGCGCGAGACGAAGGCGCCGCTCTCGTCCTGGCTGACGCTGTACACGTGCAGGCCGCTGTGGCTCGTGATGAGCAGCTGGAGCCGCGCGGTGTTCTTGTCCTGCACGACCTCGGGCGCCGCCTCAGCCGCGAAAGCGACGTTGCCGAGCGCGTGATCAAAATGGAGATCCTGCACGAGCGCGGGCTCTCCAGATGCAAGCGAGTAGATCGACAGAATGTTGGAGCGCGCAACGACGCAGATATCCTCGCGGAGCGCCATAGCGACGACACGACCCTGGAAAAATGAAGCGAAATTAAACGCGTTTCCACGATCAACAAGGACGCGCGGTCACGTACATCTCCCACGGGTGACGGAGGAAGGGTGCACAGCCTGCCAGTCTTCCAATCCAATAAGCAGGGAAGGTTCGCGTCGCCCTGAACGCCGCACCCAATGAGCGTGTTCCGCAGGCAGCGAATATGTGAAACGCCGTCGAAGCGCGCGAGCTCGACGAAGGCAAGTTCGGGCCCGCGCCTCCGCAGCGACATGACGGAGATCATGCGCCGCCTGAAAAAGCAGATACCGTGAGCAAAATAAACGCTTGAGCACGACACGGGCGCCGAGGCAAAACTCACGGGCTTTGGAAGCACAAGCTGAGGACGACCTGGTCCTCCTGGACATCCATCTCGCCGCTGGAGACGACCCCGGGCAGCGTCGCGGTCGCAATAGGCTCCGGCTTGCCGTTGCCATTTTGAATTGACTGCACCGAGTACAATGCAATCGTGCTTTCTCCAGACTTGTTGTGCGCGGCGAGAACGTACTGGCCACGCAAGAGACGGAGCCAGGTTACCGAACGGCCTTGGTCAAATCGCGAAACAAGCGGTGATCGTGATGGGGAAGCAGAAAGCAGTGCGCGCCGCGCCAAAGTCTCGAGCTCCGTTGAACCGAGCACGGATGTCGGTTTATGGTAGGACGGGAGTGGAATACGCCGCCCCACAACATCGCGCCGCAGAAGGTGGTTCCAGAGATATCGTTCCCTGCTCACAACGGAGAGGTATTTACATGTCTACACTCAGGTCAGTGTCCAGGAATACTTTCAGAGGTGCGCATTGACACACCTTACGGAGGTTAATGAGTTCGACAGAGCCCAGCAGGGAAAGTATTTCGAGGAGGAGGTCATCACCCAAGCGCAGCAGAGGAGACATTGTGTTGTCGTAGACGGTGGAATTCATGAGGGTCGTAAAGGCGAGGGGGCAGACCGAGCTGGCAACGGGTCCCGCTGTGCACCTCCTGCACTTATATACACTGCGCCATGTCCGATCGCCGCGTAAAGATAGCCACGTCTTTTTGTTTGACTGGGGACGGGCTTATGCCATGTCTATGATCCGTGCGCGGGCGAAGTCCGGACGACTCACTTCACCCTGAAGCGGCAACTTGACTTGGACAATAGCCTCGTGCAAAGTTCACCGCAGACGGGCGGCTCGGGAGAATGGGCATGCCCACTTGGCGAGCGGGATTCGTGAGATGATGGAGCTTGATCCTGACAGCACAATAGACGTACATATGAAAAACGGCAACAGGCCTACAAGTACAAGTATGCGCCGTACGTAACTGTATACGGCTTTCTATCAAAAATGCACGCGCAACGCGGTCGACAGGTTGGACTCTTCGGGACAGTAGGGACACTTCACCCGCCTGACGTCGCGTCAATCTTCGTGTGAAAATCGTGTAAAATAGCGTAAAAACGCACCCGCCGGGCTTACTAAGCTTCTGGAGGCTGTCCTTGGTGATGACATGCCCACAGTTCATCATCATCGGGGGGTTCTGCTCCGTCGACTGCTCCTTCGAGACAGGGCATGCGAAAACCGAGTGATAACGGTTCTCGACTGGCAAAGCTATCTCGATCTACATGAGCATGTGGAGGTGTGTTAGGACAATAAACAGGAGGAGTGTTATTGTTTGCACGAACCGGGAGCTCGTCTGACTGGCTCCACTCGCTCTTGCGTTCTCTCATCACCTTGCGGCCCTTTTCGATGCGGGCCAGCGCGCCGCCGCCGCCAATATCACCCACAACCCTGAGCGGTACTTGCCGGCCCATGCCGAGGTTAGCGCAGTACTCCTTTGCAAACATCGGCTCCAGGTCCAGATGAAGCGTTGGAGAAGCAAGGTCCGCGTACGGTGACGTCTGCAGCCGTGCGATTGGCAGATAGATAATACAGTTCATGAGCCGGTTGATTTCCGCGTCGTAACGAGCGTAGAAAGGCGCGAAGTTCGCACGCGCGTATGCCAGAGCGGTCGGCACGTTTGGAGGGTGTGTCGAGAGCAGGAGGCGTATATACTGTGAACGGTGCAGGTAGAACTCCAAAGGCGAGGAGCGTGCTTCCAAGAATGTCCTGTTAAGGCTAGTCCATCTCGAGGCCTGTCAGTTACACTACCTCGCTCCGGTCTATGCGGAAACTTACTCAAGTGCCGGCGCGATATTCCCTGCCTTGAGGGCGGTAATGATACCATGCAAGTCCAGAAAGTGCGTACGTAGCTCAGGGTAAATTTCCACCCCGGATTCCTGCGGGGACGTTGCTCGTCTGCATGTCACATGTGCTCAACGTGGGGTCGTGTACGTACCTCTATGAAGGTCTCGGCCGTCTCAAACTGGCCAGTGCGCAGGAAATGTGCGGCTATCGTCCGTTCGAGAGCAGTAGCGGCCTCCGGCGAGGAGAACATCGGCTGATACGAGGGAAGCGGTGCCGTGAATCTCTGCGAACAGACAGACTCAACTGAGCAATCATGCCCGTTGTTTGTGAGCGAGGGAAGTGACGAGCCTTATCCAGAGCCTTGCCGAAGCGTGCCAGTGAGCTGTAGACCTCCTTCTGTCGTTCATCAACGTCTTTCTTCGTAGACTCCACCTTCTTTGACAACAAACTGAAGGTGTCTTGAGACGCAGCGCCAGACTGTATGCTCTCCTTCGTCTCCCTCAGAGTCTGTAGGAGCGAGTCGAGTGAGTCGTCAACAGACGGGGACTTGCCCTTGGCCGACCCCGAGCTTGAGGCCAGCTTCTCGAGCTTGACCAATTCCTTGAGAGATGTCTCCATTGTTCAGCACACAGTCAACCAGTCAAGCTCTGTCCAAATGTGATGTAGAGGGCGGCCCTGCGGCGGCAGGAGGGAGACCGCTGGAGGTGATGACCAGAGCGAAAGGCGCGACTCCTGTGAAAGTCCGGGGAAGGTGCCGGCATCGGATCATCATTGCAGTACAGAGCGTCTAGCAACCTGCTCTGCCCTCACTTTGCTTTGACCGACGGCCGACCACAAAAATGCCTCTGTTCTATGCTGGGGACGAACTAGGCTCCGTAAAATCTGTCCGCTACACCTGCGATACCGAGGGTAAACAATGGAAAGCAGAGAGCAACATCATTGTTGGCGATGCATCTGCTGGACGAGTGAAGACTATCCAAAAATTAGCTTTGCACGTAGACCAGGAGAATGCTCTGGTGTGTCTCAGTCGCGTTCATGGACAGTTAAGACATTGAAAGACCATTAAGTGAAGCTCGCTGCATTTAGGGCCGACGGTTCCATCTCTATCTTGAAGCTGGACGCGGGTAACTCAAGTGCTGCAGAGTCCTCGCAATGGAAGGAGAACAGGCTGAAGGAAGGGCAGAGATTCGTAGGCTCTGCCTTCACGAAAACGTGAGTGTGCCTTCTCTGTTACATATCTTCTGCGCTCATTTCGGACCCTCCAGAGGCGTATACTCTTGTACTTCGAATGGTGCCCTCCGCCTTGCCAAGTTTTCGGAAAGTTACACTGCCCCCTCGCACGAGTTGGGTGTGCAGCCCATGCGGCTAGCAGACTGGCGGCTGTCTTCAAGCGAAGACACTTTTGCATATGTAGGCGATGAAGTAGAGCTGTCGGTCTGGAGCACCGAGCATGCGTTTTCAAAGGAGAGGCCTCTTTCTGTTGAAAGCGAAGCACAAAACAAGAAAAGGAAACGGACCGAACAATTATTACCCGGTGAACTGTGGCGAGCGAAGAACGTGAGTGTGGATCTGACGTGCATGGACTCCAAACTGACAGGAATATTCCAGCTGCCGAACGACGAGCTGAACCTCCGAGTCCCTGTTCGAAACACTTGCCTCACGTATCTCCAGCCGTCATCAAATCCATTGCAGCAGCACATTCTTGTCGGTACCCAACTGGGCGATGTCCGCAGGTACGATACTCGCGCAGCACGGCGGCCAGTATCGAACTTCAAGGGAGTTGCCAAAGTAGGTGGTATCGGCGTCGTCGAGAACGGTACTTACGAACAGTGTGTACTGCCGTCTGACTTCCCACATTGCCCACTAATGACAGAATTTAGCCAAGTGTTTGTGTCTGATCACGGCTGCAACCTCTTTGCGCTCGACCTGCGCAACGGCAAGATCTCATACGGTTACAAAGGTCTCTCAGGCTCAGTGACTTCCTTAGCGCCGTCTCAGTCGCTGCTCGTCTCTACGGCGGAGGACCGCTTCCTCAGACTGCACAGCACGTTCCCACCACCTCCCAGGGTCAATGACCAGCAAGAGCACAAGGGCGAGGTCCTCGACAAACTATATATGAAAGTCAAGCCGACGGTCGTCCTTTGGGATGGCAAGACAGATGCAGGCGCAAATGAGACAAAGCATGAAGAGGAGCGAGCAGAGGGAGATATTAGTGAGGATGAGGACGAGGATGATGTTTGGAACGAGATGCAGGATGTCGATAGTGAAGGCGAAGGCGTAGGCCGGAAAAAGAGCAGGTCGAAATAACGTCTCGTCCATGCTCTTTGTCGTTTGGTACATCGTTGGGCATCCCAGGTACGATTTATTACATGCTACGCATGTGCTCTTTGGAGAAACTACGGTACAATATAAGTTACATCGAGCATCAGTAGCAGGAGTATCAGTCGGCTAAAGTCCCTTCACCGGTTTCCGATGAGGCTCTTCCAAGTATGCGCCTTCTCAAAGCCGTTCTTGCCCAATTGATCTGCAGAGAAAGACATCAGTATTCCGCTCCTTCGAGACCCGACGTGAAACGGCTCACAATCGGTCAAAGTCTTCTGGATCTCTTCCCTATTGGTCATGACGAAAGGGCCATATTGGAAGACTGGCTGGTCCAGCGGCTGGCCAGAAATCTGTGAAGAGAAGGGTCAATCGCCCGCCCGATTGAAAGCCGGGCGGTACATACCAAGACAAATTCGGTACGGTCTTGCGTCGCAGTGAGCTTGATGCCTGTTTCATCCGAGTCCGCGGATAGCACAAGCGTGTGGTAGGGCTCATGTGCCTTCTCGTCATCTCCCACGACGACGCTGCCCTTCAGCGCTGAAAAGAAAGTCAGAACCCGCCGCCATCATGGGCGGAGCGCGCGATGCACTTACTGTAAATGAACGTCGTCCATCCCGTAGCTGTACTATCCGGTCAGAGCGCGTACGCAGAATCCGAGATAAACGGTAACGTACGCAAATCCTGGAAAATGCTCGACCCCTTCTTGTCAAAGATCACACGGAAGTACCAGCACCCGCCAAGCGGACGCACGGGCGACTCGACGCCATGGCTCTTGCCGCTGATCACTTTAACCTTTGTGGGACCGTCTGGGCCCTCCGGGTACGCGGTTGGAATCTGCTCCGGATCTAGCTCCTGATATGTCGGATCCGTCATTTTGTGCTCTGCGGGGAGGTCGACCCAGAGCTGCAAGCCGAGCGGATCGGGTTTCCCAGGGCCATGAACAGGCATCTCTGCGTGGATGACTTTGGAGGGGTCAGCGTGTTCTGATGGGATATTCTGCCTTAGTGTACTCACTTCCTTTACCCTGTGAGGTTGTCAGTGCATGCTCGAGAACACCACACGAGGTCAGCACTTACTGCAGTCATCCATTGGACACCTCCGGTGACGATGGTTCCCTTGTGTCCTGCCGAGTCCTCGTGCTGGAATGAGCCGTCAAGCATGTAGGTGACGGTAGCTTGGCCGCGGTGTGGATGGTCCGGGAAACCCTCGGGGGAGGTCAGTGCTGAGATTTTTTGATGCAAGGTGTATGCCACTCACTGCGCCTTCTCCGACATAGAAATGATCCAGCATGAGGAATGGTGTGAGGTTGCGCAGTTTCATACTGCCAATTGACCTCCGGACTTTGGCACCCGCACCCTACATACCCAGCTGCTCAGCAGGAATGCGTCGCCAAGAAGGGTTGCGCTGTACATACCTCCGAGGTTTCTACAGCAAAGACCTTTTGCACGACATGTCGCGATATAGCTTGGAGAGACATCTTGTCAAGTGTGCTGTTCGCTGCGCTGGATGTATCGAGAGTAGGCTGAGAGGAAAGAAGGTAAACAAGGTAAGCAAGCACTGCAGCCCCGATAGCAGCCTTGAGCAGGGTTATATACATGGCGTCGAGCCGGATGGGATGTAGCCGGATTCTGACAATCCGCGTGGATTATAAAACGAGAGACACAATCATTATAGAGCAGTGAAAATTAGAAGGAGCCGTTTGACGGGTGCTTGTCAGCGGTCTGCTGTTGGTTATGCCATGTCGAGAACGATGTGCGCACGGGTCCCTCAAATCGACATGGGGCGTGGGAGATATTTGCCCTCGATGCAATTCTGACACATCAACAACACGTAATTTTAAGCGCCTGTGAAATTATGCTGACTCTAAGCGCAAGTACGTCGCGAAGAAACACTAGCTATCTGGGTCGCCTTAGAACTTGGAAAAAACTTCTGCTATCTAGAGATAGCTCCTTTTAATGCATCCTGCTCCCAGAACTGCTCCTCCTCCTCCTCCTCCTCCTCCTCCAAATCTCCCTCCTACCAGTACTTTCGCCGTAAACTATGCCATTGTTTGACTTATTCGCTAACTGAAATCGAAGTCCTATACATCGTCCCCACGGAGGACCTCAGCAGGGTTAGGAGGAGTAGTGAGCCAATCGGGATGCACGTCTCCACCCCGAGCCTGCAGCTCCTGCCACCGATTCCGACCGAGTTTCCCACCCTCCCAAGCCCACATTCGGTGTGGATATTTGCCCCATTCGAACGCAGCGAAGTCCCACTCGCGAGGTGTCATCGGCACGCGGGAAATGCCGTTCGCCTGGCATGTCGTCAAGAACAGGTCGAACGTCAAGTCTGCTGAGATTATCGACAGCTGTTGCGACGAATCATGTTCCCACAGTAGCAGAAGACCGCCCGCGGTGTACAGAGAATACCGATAATTCTTCATGAGCGGCACAAGCGGTCCTATGCAGTGGTAAGCATGTTCGACATGCCAGCCGATATCCATGATATCGCTAGGGATCCTAGGGGTCAGGTTCGTCCAGTCGAGCGGGAGGGTGAGCGGAGTGCCGTCCTCTGAAATACCGTCTCTTTCCCACCCTAGCGGTATTGGGTTTGGCTGCTTCGTCCTCCATTGCGCAAATAGGAGCTCAGCGTACTCCCGAGGTGGCTCCAAGGGTCCCAGGTATGGGAATGGAAGCCCAAATGTGGCAGGAATCGTCGTCTGTCTGTGTTAAAGAAAAGTATGACATTAAGAAGAACAGCTACTCACTTCAGACATGACCTCGAATCCGTGCCTTCCATCGCCGTCAGGTATGGGAAGGGCCTCGAAACACTCCTCGAGCGGAGCAATACGCAAGGCGCTCAAGTTGAACACTGCAAGCTCACCACATGCGTTGCCGAACACCGTGACGCCAAGAGTCTCGTCATAGTCGTACACACCGGCAGCAAACATCCCAGGTAAGTCGGGATGGTCAAGCCGATACTCGGTCGATGTATGAGATCTCCCGGCCGGCAGGCCCTCTGCTAGGGTACCGAATCCAATTGGTCGAGTGGAGTGGACGGCTACGACGAGCCAAGCGAGCGACCGTCCATGAGTGGAGAAAATAGGGCTGTATGCGAAGGAGTCTTGTTCTTTGTACCGCTTCCAATCAACGCCCGTGACCGTCCCCCGGCCCCACACGGGAGTCAGAACAGTCCCCTCCGTAGCTGAGCAAAGATGATCCATGGTGTCAATATATGCGAACAGGCCATTCTCGCCACCAATGCATACACAGAGTCTTGACCGTTTGGATGAAGTTGACAGGGTGAACATTGCTTGTGCCCAGCCGACCGAACGGCCAAGCAAAATGGAGCAAAGCCATTCGCATGTCACAGAGCTTTCAGGGAGCTTGTGCAATTTGTACAACTCGAGGTTTCGGGGAGTGACAACGGCGACTACACCATCATCATCAATGGCCATCGCCACGGCACCACCCTGTGGTGCATGAGACCCTTGCTGGTCAAGACCATAGATGTACTCACGTCACTGCCAGCGGTCCGGCAGAGGTTCGCCACTTCACCGGTGCGCCAGTCAAGGACACTCGGTATACTCCGTTCACGATGAAGAGCGAAGCCGATGAACGGCCCACGTAAACATCGTATGTGCGATACATCGTCTATGAACCTTCTAAGGCGGACGAAGGTCGGCCGTCCTTCGCTTGAGGTACGTAGAGATATAATCTCGACGATAGTTTGACTAACAGAAGGAGCATCAGACCAAGACAGCATTTAGGTAGTGCACGATCTCACAATGCAGCTCGAAGCTCTAGAGCAATTATCACTTGATCATTCTGCACTTCGACCAGCCCATACACCACAGGTCCTTTGAGGAAAGCTTGGGCCACAATATCAGGAGGTCCCTCGGAGCGATAAAACGACTGGAGCGACCAGAGGCAGATGGCACTTGTGGTCTGATCTGAACATGCGACAAGGACCCACTTGCCCTGGACTAGCTTGGCCCAAGTCACTGAGCGCGTTTGAGGGAATGAGACCATAGTTGGAGGACGGCGCTGTGTGCCTAGGAGTAGCGCTTGGCGGAGTCGGAGGATGTGAAGAACGAGAGCCTCGGTTTGGATGTCTGAAAGCAGTTCAAGTGGGCGACAGTAATGTGGAATAATGGGGCCGTCGGAGACAACATCGCGTTCCAGTATGATCAACCAAAGCTGTTTCGAACGAGACATTCGTTGTAGAGCCTTGGACACCTGCGGAAAAGAGAGCTTGAGATCTGCCGAACATAAGCTGAGTCAGGCTCGCTATAGCACGCACGCGGCGAAGGCTGAGGATATCCTTTACGGTGAGGTAGCAAAAGCACGAGAATAACACGTCTCCGGGAAGCCCCTGAAGCTGAAGGGTGAGGGTGTGGGGAAACATTTGGCGAGCGTGCTGCGTAATTCCCTCAGTATCAGCAGTCACATAAACCGTCTGTAATCATGCATACCTCGCAGGTGAGCTCCCAAGACGGGCCGCGTTTAAGACACGAAGCAGTCGGGCGAAGGATCGTAACTGTGTGGCGTGCGCATCAAGCGCTAACGGAGGCAAATAATGAGCGCCGAGCGGCCCGAGGGGCCACCATACCAGAGGAACTCGCAAGAGCGGCAAGACGCACCTAGCGAGCACTTGAAGCACAGTTTGAATATGGTTGCACCCGCCAACTGTTAACGAGGGTAGTAAATGGAAGTCCTTTCTAGATAGCTCGAAGAGGTGAGCCGAAACATAAAACATAGACCAGAGTTACGAATCCGCGATACAATGAGACGGGATAAGATCAGATCAAATGGGATCTAGACTCGACGTCGTGCTGAAGTCCACGTATACCGTCAGGCAAAGAAGGTATTCGGCTGATGATGGTTAAGGGCCCCAATGGCATCGGTGTTCATCGGCACTTCACAGTCGTCTATGATGGCGTACTCGTGACGAAACTATACTGATCATTCTGAGAGGTCATATGAATAGTATAGGATGAGAGGGCTAGCACATATTACCGAGTCATTCGCAAATCGAATCCTTGTCATCACTTCTACCGGTTCATGAGTCCGCTGAGCTCCCACGGCACAATTCTTCTTGCGACACCTGTTACGTTCATGAGCCACATAATGAAATCCCGCACTCTCATCCAGTTCACAGGAACTACGCCCCAACACCACACAACTTCGTCGCTACAACTCATGCGCGACAGCGACGCCTTCGTAGATCGAATAACGTTGAGTGCACGCTCGTGGCGCTGTTGTGCCCAAGCCTTGAGTGGCGCATCGAGCTCCATGCATTCCTCGGGCGACGTTAGCTGTGCACTATGCCGTACGTGCTCCGCCAACACGGGGCCGAGGAAAGCTGCATCCCGCAGGCCGAGATTCATGCCCTGCCCGCCGGTGGGCGGATGTTTGTGAGCGGCGTCGCCAATGAGGATGACGGCACCACTGGGTCTGCCGCTTGGCGTGCGTAAGCGAGTGAAGGGCGTCGCGGCGACGGCGGAGTGCGTTATGAAGCGCGATGACCAGATGGTCTTGGTGATCTCGAGTCGTTTGGGGCTCTCGCGCGCGGAAGGTGGGATCGAGCCTGGGCCGTAGGCATCAACGAGGCCCTGAAGGAACTCGGTTGGAGGGGCGTGCGGTGGAACGCCCGTGGGGACACCGCAGGCGATCCTCCAGACCTCTTGGCCCTCGTAGGATGATGAGGGTAGGGGAATACAGACGAAGAAGTTGCCGCTCGGAAGGACCATTAGCGGCTCCGTCCTCTTCGTCGGATGTACGTTGAAGGTGACATCGGCGATGACACCTAGTTCCACGGCTTCGTCAGGGGTGTTCTCGCCGTCAGGATCTGTGTATGAAATGCCAGTCATAGTGCGGACCTAATTGAGCAAACTGGTTAGGTTAAACCACGAACGCGTAAGGTTAGCCTACAGTGGACTTTGTCCCATCAGCACCGACCACGTAGAGGGTCTGTACGACTTGGCCGTCTTCGAAAAACACGTCTATCATGCCTAACTCCAGTTCGCTAGGGACTAGATTCACGACCTTTGTTGAACGGTAAACAGCAATACCTCGTTCGTGTACTCCTTCGCCGAGCACCCGTTCGACGACATGCTGAGGAACGAAGAGAAGGAAAGGGAACTTCGTATGGCCTTCAAGGACGCTGAAGTCCGCCCAGGGTTGAAAGCGGTACCCGTCCCAAACCTTTCCTCCGGTCGCCTTTACACCAGAGTCGACTATACATTGTGCCGCGATGACTTCGTCTAGTGCCTGAAATGGACTCAGCGGTAGCAACGGAAACAGGTCAGTCGGGCACGTACATCCAAAGTAGCGGCATGCACGGCTACAGCTCGTGAAGTGTGCTCGCTTGCAAGCTGCGAATCCACAACTGTGAGGTTCGTGCATCCATGTTTGTGGAGAGAGAGAGCGGCAGCTAAACCACAAGGTCCAGCGCCCACGACGAGGACGTCCGTTCGCGAAGGCAGCTGAGGGGTCATTGAGAGAAAGATGAGATGTCTCGAGACGTACCTAGCTAGGTACTATAGCGACGGTTTAAATACGCCAGTACTGGCAAGCAGGCGGAAAATGTAGGCAGCGGGAGTTCCTAAACAGCCCGAACGCCCTGCCGCTACGGTACAATGAGACCTACTGCCGCATAGCATTGTCATGCCAAGGCTCAAGGGGCGCCCACTTAGGTCGGCCGACGAGAACCATCGTGACCTAAATTCGTGATGTTGCACTGTATCCAGCACCGACCAGAACGGGCAGCTGCCAGTGGGGGGCCGGCGGCAGCTGCAGGCAGTTCATGAGCCTCGAGGCGGCGTGAAATAAACAGGTGACGGCAGCCTTATGTCCCGTCAAGGACATTATTTCATGACACAACATAGATTCAGATATTTACGCTGCGAACCGTTCAACGTGATATAGTACCCACCGAATGCACACTCACGAGAGAAATTTGGAACTTTTTGGTCGCAAAAAATATGTGAAAACAGCCTGAAAAAATAAGTAAGAAAATGCCATATTTTTCCTCCCGGTATCCGGCGGCCCGGCGACTCGGTAACCCGGCAGCTGAGCCGATTGTCCGCCGGGTGCCGCAGCCACGGGCGCTTTTACAATGGCCTGGCGGACAATCGGCTCGGCTGCCGGGTTGCCGAGTCGCCGGGCCGCCGGATA